GGTTCGAATTTACAATGGCTTCGGAAGGATCTGCCCCTGCTGTCGTTGCCAATGGCGGCGAGGAATCTGTCGCCCAGCGCCTTCAGCAGCACCATGTGACCGTTGAAGATGCGCCGGACGAAGAGCTGTCCTCCCAGGCGGCTGACGACGCCTCTCCTGCTGCAGCTCCTGGACCCTCTGTCACGAAGACACCTGCCAAGCGCCAGCAGGCCGCTCTCGACACTCAGTCACGCGAGCTGTTTCCCGAGCTTGGAGCTCCCCGTGGCAAGAGCCCCAACGTCGTTCCCATCTGGGGCGCCAGGAGTGATGCCAATGGCGGATCCAATGGTGTTTCTCCCTCATCGACTCCGGTGTCCGGCTCTACGACTCCCGCTCCTCTGGCCCACGTGCGAATTCCTGGACACAGTGACGAGATAATCAAGCTCGATCCTGGCCATGTTCGCCCCGAAATGAGGCGGGGGCTGGAAGGCCTTCTCAAGAAAATCGGCAAAAGGTTCAATACCCCCATCACCGTGTCCACGGGCAACAATGGCCAGCTCCAGTTCAGGGCCACTGGCCCTCAGGCAGTTGCTCAACAGGCACTCAAGGACGTCGTTTCTCAAATCGGATCAAAGGTATGTGTGCCAACTATGCCTCCTTTTTTTTTTCGCTATCAACTAACGTGGTTTGCAGGTCGTGATCCAAGTCCCCATTCCCCAATCCACCCGTCCCTTCATCATTGGTAAGGGCGGTGCTACTATCAAGGCTATCCAGGAGAAAACAGGCGCCAAGATCCAGATGCCCAAGGCCGATGAGAACCAGCCGGTTGACAGGCAGGATGATGAGGCCCTCGTCTCCGTCACTGTCGAGGGCAATTCTCTTACTGCCGCTGCTGCGCAGAGGGAGATTGAAAACATCGTCAACGAGCGATCGGCCAACGTCCAGACCAGAGTGCCCGGGGTCCCTACCGCTTTCTACCCCTTCATTGCCGGCCCTGGACACTCCCTGGCGCATGAGATTGAGCAGGCCAATGGGGTCCAGCTCCGCGTCCCCACAAATCAGCTGTACTCGTCCGCGCCGCTTCCCGTTGCTCCGGCCGCCGGCGGACGACCCGTTTTCGCTCCTGCTGGTGCGGATGATGAGCACATTCAGCTTGCCGGTGACCGCAGAGCCGTGCAACGGGTTCGCGAGCTGATCACGCGCCGTGTCGCCGAGCTGCAGAGGGAGCTTGAGGCCGAACAGCTCTCCATCCAGAGAGGCCGACACCAGTTCATCATTGGGCAGCGAGGTATTCCCCTGGAAGACTTCTTCAGGGAGACTGGGTGTGCCATCGTGTTCTCCCAGGAGGAAGACGACGATATGGTTACCGTTGTTGGACCTCCCTCCCAGGTGCAGGCCGGCGTCGAGAGAGCCATGGACTTGGCCATGGGCATGCAAATGTCCAACATTGACATTGCAAGATCTCACCGCAACGCTCCTGGAGGAGCCATGGCCCATGCTGCCAATGTCACCCGATACCTTCGCCAGCGCAAGGAGATTGAGCGCCTTGAGAAGCAGTACAACACGCACATCAACACTCCCTTCTCTCAAGACGGTGCCCTTCCTTGGGAGCTGTATTCCCGCGAGGGTAAGAATGCTCTTCGTGCGCAGTCGGAAATCACTGCCATTCTCAACGGACACCCACCCTCACGTATGCAGACCGTCGCTGTCGACCCCTTTTTCCACCAGCACCTGCGCAATGAGATCACTCCCAAGGTCAAGAAGGACTTCGGTGTCCAGCTCGTGGTCCCGGACGCCTCGGAGGCCAACGCTCCGGTGCTTCTGGTCTTTGAGGGTCCTGACCCTGCTGAAGGTGCCTACCAGCCTCCCCGCGTCAAGCCTTCGGACGCGGAACTGCGAACCTTCAAGCAAGCTCTGGATGCTGCCCAGAAGCACATCCTGGGTCTCATCAACAAGCAGGAGGCGATCATCGCTGTCTCTCTGGATGTCCCTGCCAAATTCCACGAGAAGCTCCGCCGATTCATCAAGAAAGAGCAGGAGAGCCGCGATGAGTCCCAGATCCCGATTCGCGTGACCAAGGTCGGCAACATTGTGACTCTGCGTGGACCGAAGTCCGCTGTCGAGTCCCTCGCCAGCAAGGCCACCGCCTTTATCGAGCAGGAGAAGATTGATGAGAAGGAACGTGGATACACGTTGACCTTTGACTTCCCGCAGAAGTTCGCCAACCACCTCATTGGCAAGGGCGGCAGCAAGATCAAGGAGCTCCGTGATCGATTCGACGTTGAGATCCAGGTTCAGGACGGCAAGGTGGAGCTCAAGGGACCCCAGGCCAAGGCCGAGAAGGCCCGAACATACATTCAAAACCTGGGGCGGACCCTGGCTGACGAGACCACCCACATCCTCAAGATCGATCCCAAGTACCACCGTGAGCTGATTGGCGCCCAGGGCAGCCAGATCAATCGCCTGCAGACCCGGTACAATGTTCTCATCTTCTTCCCCAAGTCGGCCAAGAACGGAGACGATCAGGCCAGCGAAGCGGCAAGCGAAGCTGGCAAGCCTCGCCGCCAGCAGGCTCCAGACGAGGTCATCATCCGAGGACCAAAGAAGGGCGCCGATGAGGCTCGCGACGAGATTTACTCGTTGCACAAGTACCTCGAGGAGCACTCCCACACTGCCACCGTTGGAGTGCAGCAGAAGCAAGTCGGCTCGCTGATTGGCCAAGGCGGCGCCGCTCTGGATGAGCTTCGACAGCTGACCGGGGCTCGAATCGACGTTCCGGCAGACAGAGATACTCCCATCGTTGAAATCTCCATCAAGGGGACTGCTGCCCAGGTGAAGAAGGCAAAGCAGATTCTCGAGGAGAAGCGAGCCGAATTCGACGACACCATTGTCCAGACGATTGAGGTCGATAAGAAACACCACAAGGCCCTGATTGGAGCAGGCGGTAAGCATTTTCTGTCGCTGAATGATATCCCTTGAGATTTCTAACATGAACTGCTTAGGCTCTACACTTCGCGACATTGTTACCGGAGCCGGCGGCTCTGATGATCGACGTGCTCTTGCCCGCACGATCCAGTTCCCCAAGCAGGAATCAGATGGTAACACCATCAAGATCGAGGGCCGGACGGAAGTCGTGCAGAACATTATCAAGAAGATCCAAGAGATTGTCGCCGAGCGGGAGAGTCAGGTGACGGAGGTTGTTGATGTGCCAATCGACCAGCACCGATCGCTCATCGGACGAGGAGGCGATGCCAAGCGCCAGCTCGAGTCGCAGTTTGGTGTCTCCATTGACATCCCCCGCCAGGGCGACGGCAAGACTGGCGTCAAGGTGACTGGACGGGCCGAGAACGTTGCCAAGGCCAAGGAGCACATTTCCGGCCTGATCAAGCAGCAGCACAGCGAGACTCTCGAGATCCCTCGTAGCCTGCACCACGTCGTGTCCAATGGCGGTCAGATTTTCCGCCAGCTCCGCAACAACTACCAGGTGACGGTAGACCACGCTGGCCAGAGCATCCCGGCCAAGCCCACGCCGTCGGCTAGGGCCGTTGAGGGCGCCCTGCCTTTGATCACGGATGATGTAGACGCCGCAGCCGATGTTCATTCTTGGAAGGTCGTCAGCCTCCAGTCGGGCGATGAGGGCGAGATCCCATGGGTTCTTCGCGGAACGCCCGAAAACGTCACCAAAGCCAAGGAGCTGATCCAGAAGAATCTGGAGCAGGCCAAGGCCAACGACGCTACGGGATACCTCATCCTTCCCGACCCTAAAACTTACCGTTTCGTCATTGGACCCAACGGAAGCAAGGTCAAGTCTATCCGCAGTCAAAGCAACTGCCAGATTCAGGTGCCGCGAGACCAGGCCAAGGATGAGGCCATTGAGATTCTGGGCACTCGCGAGGGCGTAGAGAAGGCCAAGGACCTGATCCTGGCCGCTGTCCGAGAGGGACAGAGCAAGTCGAGAGACTAGAGATACCTAGTAGGGAGTACACGATTTATGAGGTCACACAATGGATCGATGGGAAACGTGGAAACGCCACAGGTCTCTTGCGATACCAAAGTGCTCGACTGGAGGGTCACCCATGTTACTCTCCTTTTTTTTTCTTACTATAAAAAATTCTTTTCAACCATGGGACGGTGGAATATCATGGATTGTTGATGGGATACTGGTGGGAACATATGGCACGAATGTTTCTGAGTAATCTCGTGATACCACCTAGATAGGTAGATGATGCATGAAAAGATTTCCTGCCCTGAAGAATGAAGACATTTGTGATGTAGCATTTTTTGCAATCGATGATGCCCCACGCGACTAGGTTGAAGATGTTCACAAAGCAACCTAAATAACGTCCAGTGCTGCCTACTTCTAAGTCGCGCGAGGCCACTACAGGTTGGGAGTGTTGATTCCCACGCCTTGTGTAAGAGCAGAATCGCAGGTGATGGGGCGAGTATCAGCCAGCACTGACATCAAGTGCGTCAACAATTACCCCGACTAAAACGCACACACAACTGGGAATCACTCCGAATGTAGGCAGGCAGAGTTGATGTGTGGTGGGGTGAGACAGAAATAGGGGGGTGAAGCCACTTCACGTGCAAGGGTCATTGAGTTTGTCCGCTCGGAGGACCCTCGATTCCCTTTCCAGCCGACAGACACAGCGCTTGAGCTCGTTTCGACAGCGCCCGACAGCACTAACAAAGGCAGCGCCTCGCCTAGCGCTCAGCCATCGAAATAGCCGAGCGGCAGCGGACGTGCAGCTCTCCCGTCAACCTGTAGGTAGCATCAAATTGCATCCGTCATCCATCACCTCATCTCTCCCATCTCTTCAACACTCCTCTTTTCTCTTCTTCTTGTCTTTTGATCTTTTCTTTTCTTTGGGTGACGCGGCGTGCTGCAGTGACGCTTGTCTGGTTCTAACTGAGCATTGCCTTTTTTTTTCTCTTTCTTCTTTGCATTATATCTGCAATTTCGACCTTCTTAGAGAAAAGAACACAAAGGGGAAGAAAAAGAAGAGACGGATCCTACGGCGATGGAGGCATCAGCTTCAGCGGCGCCGTGGGAGGAAGTCGGGCCAGAGGAGCAGCTGTTTGTCCTGATTACGGGCGCCAACAGGTAGGTGATGAGTGCTTATGGCCCTCCTCTCCCCCCCTCCTCCCACCTATACAAGTGATCTGTATGTGCCCTACCTGTCACGATCGGATCATTCTCACCAGCCCCAAAGCTCCCCCCTTGCTCTCCTTCCCCCGACCCAATGGACGTCTCTGCACGCGCAGCCTCGCTAACTGGACCGCACGACGACGCAGCGGCATCGGGCTGGGCACGGGACAGCGCCTGATCGACGAGTTCCTGGCGACGCGCTCCCTCAAGGCGCACCTCATCCTGATCCCGACGACGCGCTCGCCGTCCAAGTCGCTGCTGGCCATCAAGGCCCTCCGCGCGCACGCCGAGCTCGCCGCCCGGACGTCGAGCGCGCTGCGGTCGCGCGCCGGCGACGACGGCTACCGCTGGCAGGACGCGGCGCGGCGCATCCACGTGCTGAGCCCGTCGCTGGACCTGTGCGACCTGCGCGGCGTCTACGCCTTTGCCGACCGGCTGGTGCGCGGCACGCTGAGCAACCCCGAGGGCCTCGAGGGCGAGTACCTGCGCGGCGTGCGCATCCCGCGGCTGGACACGGTCGTCTTCAATGCCGCGTACGGCGGGTGGTCGGGCTGCAACTATCCAAAGGCCGTCTGGGCGATATTGTCGCAGGGCCTGGTGCAGGCCGTGACGTATCCCAACTTTAAGAATTCGCTGGCGACGAGCATCCTGAACGAGCAGGAGGAATATGGATACGTGAGTTACTTGTCATCATCTCACTGTGGGAGTGTTTCTCTCTCTGCTCGTTTTCGAACAAGACTCGGGACACCGGCTAACCACGCATTTTCAAACATACATACAGCCCGAGAAGCCGCTCCTCGGCGAAGTCTTTTGCGCGTGCGTCTTCGGCCACTACGTCCTCGCCCACCAGCTGCTGCCGCTGCTCTCCCGACGGGCCACCGATCCCCCTTCCTCGCGCGGCCGCATCGTCTGGTCCTCCAGCATCGAGGCCGTGGCCGACGTCTACAACCCCGACGACATGCAGTGCTTCCTCAAGCCCGCCGCGTACGAGTCCGCGAAGCGCCTCACCGACATCATCGCCTTGACATACAGCCTACCCTCCGTGCGGCCCTTTTCAGACGCCTTCCTGCGCATGGACGACGCCCAGTCTGGCGGAGATGCGGAGGAGGAGAAGCCCATCCCGCCAAAGATATACCTTACCCACCCCGGCGTCGTGGCCAGCACCCTCTTCCCCGTCCCGTGGTTCCTCTTTTGGGCGTACGAACTCGCCCTCGTCATTGCCCGCTGGGTCGGATCCCCGTGGCACTGCGTCGACGGGTACAAGGGCGCGGCATCAACCACCTGGCTCGCGCTGCAGGACCAGGCATCCCTGGACGAGCTGCAGGCGGACCGCGTCAAATGGGGCAGCAGCTGCAACCGCCATCTCCAGTCCGGCGTGAAGAAGACGGAGGTGGAAGGCTGGGGGTGGGAGGGCAAGCCCGAGACGGACGAGACGATTGCGGCGGACACGGCGCAGGGCTTGCTGCACAAGTCGGTGGGGAGGCGGCTGGGGGCCAAGAATGTCACGCAGGAGATGCTCGTCGAGTTTGAGGTCGAGGGCGCGAGGGCGTGGGAGGAGATGGAGAGGCTGAGGCTGCAGTGGGCGAATATCTTGAAGCTGGGTAAGGAGGAGTGATGATATGTGAGCAATCATTTGTCGAAACTTTTGAAGCGTTTGGAGGCTTGAGGTATATATATGTTTAATGATGGGATATACTATGGCAAGAGATGAAAACCGACGACATCACGGGAAAGGCATGGCTACGAGGAAGAAAGAGAAGAAAGAAAGAAAGAAGAAAGAAAAGGGGGTATATATTGCTAGCACATGTCTGGTATCAAAGATGCGCAACGTAATCACTAATTCTACCGCCACCACGAAGATTCAAAGCCAAACCGCATAGCATTCGTCCTTTTATCATGACTGTCGGCACATCTCGAGATATCGTGAGAAATTGTTCAAGGCGCCGCTGACCCTCCTTTTTTTGTTCCGAGGTCAATCATGTACTCAATTCGCATTCGAGTTGTAAAGAGAAAAAAGATGGGGAGAAACAAAAATTGAGCTTGAGGAAGGCGAAGTAATTCCATCATGAGGTTAGAAGGTTTAAGAAGACCTTCATCTTGCTTACTTTGCCCTTCTGATATGTTATAGAGTTCCCGCTCAGGAAGATGATTCCTCCTGGCGAGGCTGCAGTCTCCGCAAGACGACCTTGTCCTTGCGCCCAAACCAGCCCAAGACAATGACCAGAGGCGCCGCAGCCACGGCGAGGACCGCCTGGAAGATGAGAAAGTTCTTCATGTTCTTGGGAGGATCCCCGTCGCTGCCGGCTATCAAGGGATCGCTGACAATGACAAAGATGGCGCCACATAACTGACCGCCGGCCCACGCTGCGGTGGACGTGACCTCGGGGCTGATGGGGTGGCTAAGGTCCGCGAGGAATTCGACGGCGATGGGCACCAGGGCGAAGCAGCCCGCGCCGATAATGGCCAGGATGACGTACGGACCCGCGAGGCTCCTGGTTTCAGGCATCCATATGAAGATGACGAAGCACGCTGCGACGATGGGGATAATAACCTTGATGGCGAGCAGGAAGTGTTTGGTGCGGTCCAGGATGGGAGACGTGATGGCGGCGGTGACGAGGCCGACGACGATGAGGATGGCGCCGCCGATGCCAGCCTGGTCGTCGGTGAAGCCGTAGGGGAGGAGGATCTGGTTGAGGAGACTGGACACGGCGTTGAAGAGGCCGACGTAGACTGAAAAGGTGCCAAAGACCAGCCACAGCTCAGGGGACCGGATGGCCGTTCGGATGGACGGGAGCAGAGGCATCTTGGGCGTCTCCGAGGAGGGGCCAACGGGGGTGGGTGGTTGAGAGGGGACGAAGAAGGCGGTTATCGAGCAGGCAGTGGACTAGATCAGCGTCAGCATAACATTTTACCTAGAGTTGATGGGTCAGGTAGGGTAGAAGCTATGGTATGAGCTAGTATTTGAGGTACTACTTACGATGATTGCAACGTAGAGCACCATCTTTGGGACGTCGTCAGGAGAGTTCACCCACAGCGGGTTGATGAGCTGCCCGAGAGCCGCGCCCAACGGATTCGCCAAGCTGGCCAGAGCAGTTGCAGCAACACGGCCTCGGTCGGTGAACCACAGGTCCGAGTACTTGGCCGGCGTGGCGAGGACAAATGGCTGGGCGAAGCCAATCAAGATCTCGCCAACCATGGCGCAGGCGTAGATGCCACCAGACGACTTGGTCGAGCCAGCGTAGCGAATCCAGTTGCCGACGACAAGCAGCAGGGCGGCACACATGAAGCCTAGCTTGAAGCCGCGGTTGACGACCCAGATGCACAGGGGGAAGATGGCGACGAACGAGAGAAAGAAGGCGGTGCTGATCCAGTTGATTGCCGAGGAGCTGACGTTGTAGTAGGCGGCAGAGTCGTCGACGACGGGGGCATAGGTGAGCCACTGGCGAAGGGTGTTAGCAGATGAGCTCGTCTAGCAGATTTCGTGGCGGTGAGAGACTCGACAAAAGGACTCGAGCGACTCTCAACAGCCATGCATTTGGCTCAACTTACTCCCCAAGATACCATGATGTTCATGAGCGTCAGCTGGATGAGGCCGAACCAGCGCCGCTTATACGTGCGGTACACTGTCGACGTGCCATTCTCGAGATCGCCATTCCGCTCGTCGCCGCTGACGGCTTCGCGCTCCTGGAGGCTAAACTCCTGCGACGAATCTTTCTTAGAGCGCCAGAAGCGAAGGGCCTCGGTGCTGCCGGCGGAGCTGGAGAACTTGTGGAAGACGCCGCTGCGAGGCGTCTCGACGGGTTGGTCCATTGTCGTCCTGATGATGCCTTGACTTGGGTCGTTTTCCGTGCTTGCCATTGTAATAGGTGCGAGGGCCGTGAAATTTTTATTTTCCCTTTTCCTTTAGGAAAGCAAACAACAAGAACCGCCGCTCGAGGGTCAACGGCAAACTGGCGGACTGGCGCAAGTGTTGGACGGCTGGCTTTCGCAGCTCAGGTTGTTCCCAAGCCAGTTGCGAAACCCACCCACTGCCGGTACCCGTTCACCTATAAGAGAACACCTTAAGAGAGACGAGCATCCACCGCCTCGAGCGAGTCTGAGACGAGACGTCACTCGTTGGCCTCATATACTCTGCCGTGGCTGTCGACTTGACCCCGAGATCGTTCTTCTCCGGCCGAGTCACAGCCTCTGGTGATGGACGGGTTGGCGGCTCGAGTCTGACCAGCAGAGGAACGGAATGCGAGCTGCTGGCCGGTTTACCATGACAATGGCGCTGGCCGAGGAGGAGCAGGGCAGCACATGCGTGAAGGCAGGCTGATGGATCCGAGGGCAGAGGCGAGTTGAAGCGATACGGCGTTTTGTGTAGTAGGCAAGGTATGTATGTATGTATGTGTCCAAGGCAAGGCAGGCTCTTGTAAGTATTACGACGAAACCCGCACGAGCAAGAGGGGAAGCAAACATGAATGGAATGGAGCTCGGACCGCTGGCAGCTGGACGGGCAGGGCCTGTGCACCCACTGAAGTCCAACGATGGATCCCTCCCACAGCAGCAGCTGGACACTGCGACACTTTTGGCTACAGGCGGCTGCAGTCGCTAAAACTGAAGCAACGAATCACCGTCCAGCAGGTGCTGGGCGACATGCCACGAAGGGCTTAGCGGCCTCGGCATGGCTTGCATTGGCGCTGGGCGACTTTCTCATACCTGGTATCTTTAGCGACTGGGGGGGTGGTTGAGAGTCACTTTTCTCTTCCTTGCAGCATCTTCCTGAAGAATCGACACTTCGAGAAACGCCACAGAACAATCACGGCAGAGGCGGACGCGCGATGGCTTGCAGCAGTTTCTCCGGAATGGCTTCGACATCGTTCTGCTGCGATCATAGATAGGTCCTGAATACCTCGCCGTTCACCCACTGACCTTGGCTGGACGCCCCTGCGAGAATATGCGGGAGGCTCGAGCCAGGCACGCGAGCAAGCGAATGCTGGGGAAAACCCAGGATCAGACACCCGGCGAGCTGCCGCATCCCGAGTCTGCCGTTTCTTTGTGCAGGTCGACACAGCCTTCGTCCCGGCTTTGCTCATACGAGCAACGTCGCAACAGGCACTGCTCAAGCCCAACAGCTCACAGGAGTTCCTCGTGAAGTATTCCCAGTCGCTGTGCCTCGTCCATCACGTTGGATGATAGTTCTGACATCGACAAGCTAACCTGTTACCTGGATAGCCTTCATCTGCTGGGCACGGACCGTCCAGCTGCGGCCTCAAGACCCCTCGTCCCGCTAGCAATTGTGACGCTACGGAGCCTCGGATCGTTGACGGACACGTCGTAACGGCTAAATTCCACCTCGACGTTGCCTTCTAGCTGTTGGGCCACGCGATTCGTCAGCGCCTCTGCGAATCACAGCCGCCACCAGGCCCGCAGGTCGAATGGCAAGGTCCCGCCGGCTCCCTGCCGCGAAAGGGGATTTGGCTGCTGTGGCTCACAGCACTTGGATGAAACTCGCGAGTCCTTGTTAGCCACACAACTGGAAACATGCTGGTGCCGTATCGAGCGTCCAGGTGCGTGTGGAGAAGCGGCGATGGCACCAAAGTCGGCTCTGGCGCCGCTACGGAGGGTTGCAGCTTGCCGCAGCGAGCTTTGGTTCCAACAGCTTCACTGGTTGACTGGGCGAGAGATAAAGTCGAGTGTGATTTGCTTACATGCGCATCCTACGTATCAGCGGTCCAGAGAGAAATCGACAAGCGGCCACAGCCCCGATGTGCCACCGACTGGTCGGGAAGCGTCGAATCATTGGTTCAGCCGCTGATTGCAAGGGATGGAATCTAAGATTTGCCCATGCAAGGGCAGGCAAGAACTCGACTGCAGATTGCGCCGTGATCTGATTGCTGCACGGCAATCTTCTACTATTGACAAGGAGATACTGAAAAGAATTGCCATCAACAGCCATAGAGGTGTGTTCTTCAGGCGATGGCACGTATCTATTGCCATGCTTACACTCTTGATTCGAGCCGGGCTCTATCTTGGTGGGTGCCGGAGTTGATAACCTGCCCCGGTACAAACGATTTGTCTTGAGGCTCCAGAGGTAGCAAACTGGTCCACGCCTGAGTTGCCGTCTCAAAACACCAAGCTTTCAACATCACAAGACCCGACCCGAAGGGCTGACATCGTCTCTGCTATCAACAGTGCGCTCTTCAAGATAGAGAGTCTTCTTCCCATGCATTCCGTCGCAAACGGCTTCATTCGCATCGGAAAGCCTGCCGTCGGGCGCCGATTCGATCTCAGACCAGGTGACACAAGCTGATAAGCCCATCTGGATCGGATGCCACTTGTCTCAGCTTTTGTATTGCGTTAAGTGCTGCTCGTCAAAGAGAGGACGCGTTTCCAGATTAATGACGACCATGACCTGCTTCTACTAATCATGCGTCATTGCGTCGATTCAAGGTATCACCAAATCTTCTGGTATTCTGGGAGCAAAGTGTCAGTCAAGCGGGCGCGTCTTGACTTGTAACGAGGACGCTGCCAACCTCATGGGAGACCATCTCCCATCATGATGCTCCTCCCAGGATCCCGTTTCTGAGGATTGGGGTCTCACAAGTGAAGTCTTTAGAGAATCCTGTATTAGATCGTGCTCCATCCTGGAAAGCTCATCCAAGAGGTATCAGTTGTAGTTGGTGGCAATGAACATCACCATCACAGGCTGACCACGACTACTACTAATATCATTGCTCCAGGCTTAGTCCTCTGTGTCTCGCCAACTGAGACATTGATCAGGGAGTCGTGTCTGGAAGCCTGCAAGCGATATACACAGTCGGGTTGCTCTTGCCAATGATAAAGATGAGCCAAAATCTCCCAGTACACACTTTTCAGGTGTTTCCTGGCTTCTCGTCCGTCTTCTTATCCCATTCTGATGTTTCGACGCATCATTGGATCCAGGTCATTCTTTTTTCAAGCAAGCACTGTCCTCATACATCTCATAGCCTTCATATCTCATATATACCAGAGTACCTGCCTTTATCCAGCTAACATGGACGAGCAAAGGGGAGACTCGCCAGACAAAGCCGAACTCGACAATTCTTTGGAGTCGGCAACCACCGAAAGCACGAGCGAGACGATCCAGGTAATCCAACTCAACCCCCAAGCGGTCGAGCGTGATATCGGGCCCCTCCAGATCATCGCCCTCGGCTTCAATATCCCCAATAGCTGGGCGGGCGTGGCCACCGCATTTTCAGCCGCCCTCACTGCTGGAGGCCCCGTGTCGCTGATATACGGCAACTTTGTCAGTCTCGCAATGTACGGGTCTGCGGCCGTCACGCTGGCCGAGCTGGCGAGCGTGTATCCGACGGCGGGCGGACAATACCACTTTGCGAGTATCATGGCGCCTAAGAGGTTCAACCGATCCATCTCCTACGTATGCGGCATGATGGCGACTGTTTCATGGGTGATTTGCTCAGCCAGCGTGGCGAGCATCACGAGTCTGTGCATTGCCTCCATTGCGGAGTTTTATGGCGGGTATAAGGCGAGCAATTGGCAGTTGTTCCTGGTCTCGCAGGCTTTAAATCTCTTTGCTCTGGGATATAACTTGTTTCTGATGAAGAGGACGGGGTGGCTTCATAATGCTGCTTGTGAGTTACGGCTTGCTTGGGAGATGCCAGCTGAACGGCCGCGCTAATGGCAAAGAATAGTCTTCTTGACGCTCTCGACATTCCTCGTCATATGCATTGTTTGCCTTGTTCGAGGCGACAAGCAGTCTTCAACGTGGGTTTGGACCAACTTTGAGCCGTCTTCAGGGTGGCCGCCGGCGGTATCCTTCTTCATTGGTCTGTCCACTCACGCCTACATGTTTGGGGGCCTCGACTCTGCGCTCCATCTTGCGGAAGAAACTCTGGATGCTTCCAGGACCGTGCCCAAGGCGCTCATGTCGACGATTGGGCTTGGCTTCTTCTCGGGCTTTGTCTTTTCTGTGGCCATGACTTACTGCATTCCCAGCCTGGACATTTTTGCCAACGATCCGTAAGCGTTACTCGACTTTTTCTCTTTCGTATAGAAACAGCGTAAGATTACTGACGATTGCGTCAACAGAGTGCCTATATACAAACTCTGGCGAATAGCCAGCAAGTCCGACACCGCTGCTACAGTGTTTCTCGTCATCGTCATCGTCATCTTCACCTTCATCCTCATTGCCATTCAACAAACTACCTCTCGCCTTCTATGGGCCATGGCGCGAGACCAGGGTCTAATCTATTCCACCCGTTTTGCCAAGCTGTCCCCCAGATTGGGCGACATCCCCGTTGCGGCGCTCCTCCTGGATGCTGGCCTGATAGCCCTGTGCGGGTGCATAAGTCTGGGCTCGACGGCGGCCTTCAATGCTCTTGTTGGCGTCTTCTCCATGATGCAGATGACATCCTTTGCCATTCCAGCTGCGCTGCTGATGTACCGTAGGAGAAGTAAGAAAGTGCTTCCGCGAAAGAGGGCGTTCAAAGTGCCTGAGGCGATGGGCTGGGCTTGCAACATTGGGACGGTTGTTGCGGCTGTCATTGAGACTGTGTTCTTCACGTTTCCGACGGTTCTGCCCGTGACGGGGAGCAACATGAGTAAGTTGACAAACTTGTTGCCGCGCATGGAGTTATGTTGTTTGTATGGGAGTGAAATGTGCTGACCTTGCTTTGCTTGATAGATTACGCCGTGGTCGTCTTGGCGGTGATTGCCATTGTCATGGCCCTGAATTGGGTTCTCTTCGCACGCAAACATTATCAGGGTCCTAGAATTGGAGTTACTTTGTAGATTAGCAGCTGCAGCATACCAGTAGACTTTCACCGGGTAACATAGATTCTGTCAATGTGGCAGCATCTGTTTATAGATTCTACTTGTATAATCGTACGACACTTCTTATCTCTTTTCTTTCAACTGGTAGAACCCAACCTCCGGGCGGGATGACTCTCCCTCCAGCGGCCATACCAAGCCTCGCAGTCAGCCTTGATCAGCTCGACCTCGGAATCATCTGGCTCAAGTGTGGATTGAGGCCCTCATAGGCAGGCATTCGATCTACGCTGGGTTCGCGTTTCGAGCTGGCCAGAAAGCTCGTGCGTGCCGTGTGCCTGCTTCACTCCAGCGGCTGGTTGCACAAGAACATACGAGCTGAGTCGGTGATTTTCTTTCCCGATCATGTAATTGAACTCCAGGAGCATCAGTACGGGGCCGAGATCAAGATCGATGACTCAAAGCCTATATTGATAAGTTACATCTTCTCACGGCCAGACTACATCATCATCCGAAGGGAACCAACTTCCGCGCCACAAAAAGACGACGACATTGATTGGATGCAGGAGATGACCCGTCCTTCTGTACGTGGTCCCACTACCGTGTATAAATGGAAGGACCCGAGGAACAAGCAATTGAGATTGAAACGTAGGGAGGGAACCCTTCGACCTGGTAGCGTTTATGGCCGCGACATGCCAGGGGAAATAGCCGTGATCGAGTCTGAGGAGGAGACGAACATCAGTGGCTTTACGCTTGATTATCATCAACATCCTGCGAAGCACGCGGATCCGGAGCGCCAGTATCGTCACGCATATGATGTGTACTCGCTCGGCATTCTTCTACTGGAAGTCGGGCTATGGGAGAAGCTGCAGGACTACGATGTTGAACGCGGGTCTCTTCATAGCGCTCCCGCTCATGACGAAGAGGATCAATATGAGCGGAGACGATGGATTTGTCGAAAATATCTTAGTCGCCTGAGGTAGCAATGTAGAGACACTTATGCGGATGTTGTGCTCAGTATGTTGTCTCATGATTGATAGCAGTGATGACGAACTGGACAAGGCGAGTGAGAGGGAGCTTTGTGCTAGGCTTGTGGCCGACTTGGAGGGCTGCCAGGCTTAGGCAATGACTTTTGCGGATGCAGCCGATCTTTTGCATCTTGATATTGTCTTGATAAGGGCGTATAGCCTGGTCAAGAGCAATAGTTACTGTTCTTTCCAAGGTTAGGTATAATGCTGTTGTAGTTCAAAATGAGGTCCGAGACATTCCTACTGAGACACGCTTCAAAACCGTTCAGAATCTACCCTGAACCATACCTACTATGGTACTAGGTATCGCAGTGATGTAAACCTCTTCCATATATGCTAAGCAATAACAATCAACTGTTCTCCGTCCTCTCGACTTGTTTATTTCATCTTGGGAAGAACATGTTTCTAGAGCCGGAACAGAGCAGAAAGCAGACAAGAGTCAGGATCCATCAGTTCCAATTCTCTGGACCTGGTAGTGCGAGTATGTGTGGGCGGTTCGTGGACCCTCTCTGTTGACCCAAAATAGAAAAGGACCCCTACGGATGACTAAGCCAGCCCGGACGGGAAAATTTTTTCCTCTACCGGTATAAAATCATTCGCCATCCGCCTCGCTTTGTCTTTCTCTTCTTTTTCCTTTTTTCTTTTTTCTTCGTGCGGCTGGCATGACCTGAAAATTATACCCGTGTTGCTCGAGTCCTCTAAATTCAGTGGATAATTTCGCAGCGTCAGTTGTGCCACAGAGAAATCATAATTGCAGGCCGGCCTTTCCATTCGTTCTGGATCCCATGGCTTTTGACAAGGGATTCGTGGATGGAGGGCTGGACATTTCTTGTCCCCTTTTTTGGCTTTTGTGATGTGATTGTGTGATTTGTATAGGTGATTGTATGGGGCGTTGCTTGGGTTGATGAGCATCAATTCTCTCGTGTTGACATCGTGGGCAATCCAGGCCTTTCGAGTTGGCTTATGGCTCAATCACCATTTCCTTCGCACGAAGCATAAGACAGACCATTGCGTGAACGTTTTTCAACCCCTACACTCCGTGATCTACATGTAGCTTGCCAGTAGTTCTCTGCAGGCGTTGAAGGCGATCATGGATGGTCGTTTGTGTCTGGACTTGCCTGAGACTGGAGTAGGAATTCCTTCTGGTCATATGCCGTATCTATGAGTATATTGCTCCGGGGCCATCTGTCTACATGTAGTGAGGCTACATCCTGACACTCTACCTAGGTGCTTGCTAAAGAAAGCCCGATGTCCTCCATGGCGTCCAATCTCCTAACTCACGCGGAGGCTCTTCAAACTCCATTGTGACAAAGTCTCGCCGCGCAGTTCCTATTACAACCTCCGACGCAGCTGCACAGAAGCTTACGCCCCCCCTTGGGCGATAATTCACTGGCAGCCAAATTATCCTCTTCCCATTCCATGCCACCCAGTCGCCGTTGTATGTGTCTTCTGATGATTTGAGATAGTATCCAAAACCAGGAAAGCTATCTGTGGCTATAGGCCTGAAGTGTATCAGACAAGGATTTCCGACATCCGATCGATCGATGCTATAGCACCCAGTCTCCGTAGCCAGATATAGATTCGCTTGATAAACGCAGAATCTAACCGGTCCGGACGTGTCAAACTCGGATATCAGTTCCCCTGTCTCTGCTCTCCAGACAGTGACAATGGTGAGTTCATCGCGGTGATGCGCTGCGGCCAAAAGATCCCCGTCCGGCAAGAATGCCAGGTCAGCCTGGCTGTCTATCCGCTTTTCCAGGGGTATTTGAGCAATCGGACGTAGATTGATGTCCCAGACTTCGATCTGATGCAACCGGTCACAAAGTTGACCTGCAGAATAGACACATTCAAATGCTATGAGCCGAGAGCCTTTGGAAATGGCTGGCGCCCCTTGCCACTCCCACAGTTTTACTCCTTCTGCATTTTTGTCAGGCAGAGGTCGAGACTGTCTGATTCCAGGAAGTTGCCGGTTTTCGTGTCTGTGCCAAACGTTGATGTTGCCTCCGTCAGAGTTATAAACGACATGGTTCCGATCTTCCGACAATGCCACATGGTTGAATATGCAGTTGTTAGCAATAGCATCTGGCGAATCGTCAACAGGGTTGCTCAGATCTATCGCCCAAACCTTGATTGTCTCGTCTGCTGACGCTGTTGCTAAGAGCTTGTCATCTCTTGAGAAGACCATAAATTGAACGTCATCAGTGTGACCTTCATATGATCCTATCTTGACCTTTGTCTCAAGGCTCCAGACTTCGACGCCCCCATCCTTAAGACCCAATGCCAGAAGAGTGGAATCGTCTGAGAAGGCAATCGAACTAATATTTTTGTCATAATCCTTGACGGTGATGGATTCTGCGCCCGACGGGATATGCAGGACCTGCAGATGTTTCCCGGCCGAGACCAGATATCGAAAGTCTCTCGAGATTGCCATTATGTCGTCAAACACTGAGACCTCTGTTTCTAGCTCATAGAGCACTTCGCTTGTGGCTATGTCAGAGACCTGCATCGCTATCCATTCTCTTGTAGCTTCGCGTCTATAGCTTTCTGTAGCTAAGAGCTCAAAGTCCCGGGATATCGCAACTGCACGACGCGACGAACTGCAAAGGATTTTGCGGACCAAGCGCCCGGTGGAGAGATCCCAAATGCCAAGGTGTTCTTCAAAGATCAACGCCAGAAGTCGATCATCTGCCGAGAACAAGGCTTTCGGCATCAGGAAAAGAAGGAAGCCCACGTCCAGTTCTTGGATCAGCTTTCCAACCTCTATATCCCACACGGTATTCTTTGTCGCGCTGGAAACAAACAAGAAATTGTGATTCTCTGAGAATGCCGGAGCGTCAAAATCGACGGAGTCGAAGTCGTAGACGCAAACTAGGTCGCCCGTTGCTATATCCCAGCTTCTCCCTCGTCCGTCGACAAACGAGGCAGTCAAGCGTAAGGAATCGTTCGAGAAAGCCACAGTTTGGACACCGGAGGCATACAAAGTATTTACGCAAGAAGAAATCCAATCGTCGTCAACCTTGGGTGAGGTTTTTATCCATGATAGTGTGTCCTTGAAGTGAAGCCGTACTTGGCTTCTGGACGGACTGAAGATGAGGGCAGAGACATACGTTTGGAGAGGGGCTGTCTCCAATATGTACCTGTTGTAAAACATGAAACGAGCAGCATCTTGAAAAAACTCATAGGAGTCGTCGGGTTCCAGGCGACCCTGATGTGGTTAGCGAAATGGTTCATCAATTGCGCAGCTGGTATGGTAGGAGCATGAAGAAGCTTACCGAGAGATGCTTGACCAGGCTCCGCAAAAATACGACTCCAACTTGGATATTACGTAGAAGGCTCAGGCTTTCAATCCAGTGAAGAAAATGTATCTTCAAAAAGTTGAGAGCTTTTTCGATACCTTCTAACAGATCGTCCTTCTTCGTCGAATGGGCACCGAAAAAGCCATCGCAGAAATGTCGAAGCCAGGCGACACAACAATACTGAATGTCTGCAAGAGGGTCTGGCTGCGGTATGGAAACCTCATGGACATTCACGCCAGGATAGGGAAGAGAATAGATGTTTGGACGCAACCTGCCGGGTTTCTGTAGAGCATCCATTGAGCGATAGAACAAGTCTCGATGGACAGCTTCAGTTCCATGTTGGAAAATGCGGTGGTAACCCTCCCCAACCAGATAGTCTTTGGCCGATTGATGAACAAAGTAGACAACATTGTCCCGAACTGTCAGAAACGACCCACAGGTTTTGATCAAGGTCTTCAGAGGCTCAGAGCGTGCCAGCCGATCTTTCAAACCCGCCATGATGGGTGTTGCCCCTAGATCCAGGGGTTGATACGCCGTTGCCATTACCGCGAGAAGGTTGCGGCAACGCTGCTGGTCGTTGCGGCTTAGTCGCTCGATCTGATCCACCATTCTGTCGTACAAGGCGATTAAGCCACTGGGTATCTCTTGCAAGAGCTCCAAGATCTCGGCGTCATCATCGTATGTGCGCAGCTCTTCAAGTTCCTTGAAAACAAGTGCCGCCCATAGAAATGTTCCGTTCGATTTCTCAATGATGGCACGATGCAACTTTGTGTGGAGTTCCTCATTATCTTGGATGAGATTGAGTTGTTGTATCCTCGCGCGAACGTATGCGTCCACGCTGTCCGTGACATGTCTGTCATTCGATTCGAGATCGATCACAACAGCTGTTGGACAGTTGACCAGCTTGGCTTCAATATCAGGAGAGTTCCGGCTCGATAGGACCCATTTGATGTGAGGCGCCAATGAAGTGCTTTCGACAATGAGATCGAGTAGAAACTTGCGGCCGGAATCACACTCGTCTAAGGCATCAAGCACCAGACAGGCGCTCTCCAACGCTGGATCTTCTAGCATGCTTCGGAAAATGCTGGACAAGGTTATCCAGGCATTGACTCCATCGAAGAGGGCCCTGCTTCCGACGTTCTTGTACTCCTCCTGTAGATGGCTAATAAGGGACGGCCTCTGTATCGCCAGTAGATAGATTAAGCCTCGTAAGACAGCAGTGGCACTGTTGAAGTTTGGGTCAGTGCCCTGACAGAAAAAGTATGACACCAGATCTGGATAAGGCCCCATGCTTTCCAACTCTTCGGAGACGCCACAGATGATCATGGTCTTTCCTTTTCCAGGATCGCCCTTGATCCAAAGCAAGTTGGTTTGTTTCTCTCTGTGCCACTGTTGGAACGTGGCGCTCTTCATAACCCACTTGAACGAGTCCGGTAAGAGCCCGCCTTTTGCCTCTAGCAGACGCTTCCTATCGTTCCGCGGATTGGTGATGTATAAGTCTCTTAAACAGTCTCGGTCTTGCTGCTCCAAATCCTTGACTTGCAATGCGAGAAGATTCTCGAGACACTCCTTGATATGATGGCTGAGGCTGGTCCTCTCCAGGCCCATGTAGGCGTTACAGTCGTTTTGGACTTCTTGTTCGAGAACGCGTATCTCTTTCATACTTTCTTCCCAGTCGTCAAGCATGGCAAATTCGCGGAGCAACTGTAGCCCGCGATTGCGGTAGTATGAGCAGATCGACTTGACCTGGAATAGTATAATCTTCTTGTAGAGCTCTCTAAGTCGTGAAAGCAAGGCATCTCGCATAGTGGGTGTGATACTAGGATTGGCGGTCCCAGCTCGATCGAATAGCTCATTCGACAAGCTCCAATACCACTCCATCCGCTTCGCAGTGTAGGATATACCCTCGGTTTGCCTTTGGTGTTGCTTCAGTGGGTTTTGCAAAATCTTGCCCCCGAAGGTCAGCTCAAATTCCACTGCGCATTGGGCTGGGGAAATACCTACATCCAAGGACATGGTCACAAGGGACCATGGAAGAGCGGCCTGCGGTGCAGCCTGGACTGCTGCGCTTATAACGCCTCTCACGGAGTTGACGACTTTCATTCCCTCTCCTATGTTTTCCTTGATTTTGGCCTCCGTATGGGTCTTCTTCTGGGCCGCTTCAATCACCAGCAGCAGTTGGGCCCGTCGTTCATCCCCCGACCCGATGATATTTACATCGGTTCCGCCAGACGAAAAGCTAGGGTCGCTGAGTCTGTTTGATAGAATCACTTCGTACGCTTGCAAAAGCTTTGTCTCCTCGTTCTTCAATTCGTCGTAAGCTTCATCCCAGAGCTCCTGCGCGCAAGAAGCAGCCTTTTTCTTTTCTTCTGTTGTTTGCGGTTCAGCCGTCAGGGTTGATGCTTCAGCTGGAGGTACCGGAACACCGCTTCCAGGTGTAGGCAGCTCTGGCTCCCTGCTCACAGAAAGACTTGAAAGTGCATCTGGGGGCAAGACAACCGGAACGTTCCTAGGCGTCGATAGCTGTGAGTCCCTGCTCACAGAACGCCTTGACAGTTTCTCATCCTTGCTTCCGCTGCTTGACTTCTCCGCCCGACCTTTGCCTTTGCCGTTTCTGGATTGAAGACCTTTGAAAAACGCGGAAATGGATCTTCGAGGCATTGCTATTGCTGCTTGACACGAGGCCTCATGACGAACGGGAAACAGACATGATATGTTGTTATATATTTGGGCTCCTCTCTTCCAAGATACGACGATGCCTTGCGGGGGCAGTGCAATCGATTGTTGCTCGGTGCCCAAAGTCACACTGAGTCTGCCTTGGTGCTTCAGTGATGCTGATTGGAGGTGCGGGAACGACAGGGGAGGGAGAAGCAGGGGGTCGCTGATGGGTGGCCAAAAATATACGACAGCGAACGGCATCTCATATATCTGGACCTGATTAGAAGCATATACTAGTAAGACAAGACACATATGGCGGTTGATAGCACAGCGATAATAGCAGGAAACAGAAATTGTCTGCTGTTTATTACCAGTGTTTGGTTTTTACTACCTTTTTTTTATGGTAGGATATAATTCTAGGAGACGAGATGGCTGAGATAGGGTGCTGGCTAACCGCTCCTGTGGGTAAATGTGATGAAGGTTGGCAAGATGCCCAGATCTGCTATATACACAAGATGTTGCAGAAAGATGGCGCATCAAAAAAGAGTCAAGCTTCCGCGGCTGCAGAGTACCATGCGCAACATCTCACACTACCTAGTATCCAGATATAAGAGAAGTATCATACAAGGTCTGGATACAGGTGCCCTGTTCTCCCACTCCCACTCAATGAAGAGGCCACGAGTATCGCGCTGAGAGCATCTAGTATAATACGAAGCGGATGGAGTGGTATTGGAAACTGTCGAATAATCTTCAGTTGTTTCCAAAGCGACTATCAAATCGGCACATGTCTTGATTCAATGTATCAAGTATCTTCCCAAGAGTACGTGTATGCTATTAGCTGTTTGGCCCTTTAGTAGCTTGGCTCTCAAAGCAGGAGAGTCCAAGCCTGATAGGGCTCATTTGGCTTGAGGCGCGACTGAAGATGAGCTAAAGTTTATATGAACTCGACCCCAGGGAGGTGTCGAAAAGCCTTCCTGCAACTCCCAAGAACATGTGACACACAAGCGAAGAATATCATTGCAAGAGCCGCTTGTGATGTTTGTCCCCGAGCCGCCAATGCTTCATTAACAAAGGCTAGACCTCAAAACTCGTAAATCATTCTCGATGATGCCTTCAACTGGACCAACTGTATCCCAGGCCAGGAGGCACATCAAATCGAGTATAACTAGGAGAGCACTCATTGACGCACATGAGCAGCATTTGGCCCTGGTCCATAAGCCACCTTTGGGGCGTGAAAGGCTACGATTGCTCAGAGTCCACGTTAGATTCTTGCTATAACTCTTGTGCCTTGACAAACCTGAAGTCTTGGCGAATGGTTCAGCTCTACAGGCTATGGAAACGTGGTCAAGAAGCCACTTCTCAGTTCTTCCCCCGTATAGCTACATGCCAGTCCATGCTGAGTCTAGCTGCAATTGATCGATTCTTTGTCTTTTACGCAAACTCTATTCATAGAGTCAAGGGTAATATCTTCCGAATCCGAAATCATATCGATGAGCTTCCGCCGATGGTCTGCTCTATCAGGGTAGGCATACTGGACCCAAGTTTCGTCTTGCTTTGCGATCCGCTGGCTTGGATAACCTCTATAGAATCAATTGCGAAAGCTAGTCAAAACCTGGCAAACAGAGAAAATCGCGTCATTGAGTATGTCTGGTGAACTAGACTGATGCTCGCGTAGGTAGCCAAAGAAGCTTTTACGAGCGATGGAGGTGCTGTTATAGCACTACACCAAGCTATCAATCGCAAGAAAGGACGTCGCGAAAATCTCCTTCTTGAGAAACGCGGATCTGTGTAGAAACGGCTGAAGTGTGAATATACCGCAGGCTTCTGCCATTCTCGAGTTCCTGTGGTGGTTCATCGCCATTTCTGGCAACTCGCGCGGACGGGCTCTCCGCTACTGCAGATGTCGCGATAATTTCCTCTCCCGGTAAGCCGTTCCAAAAGGGCATCTTTAGATGATCATGTGCCTGGCTAAACGCGTTGCGGAATTGGGGTGCCGGCTTGTCAGATCTTTGTTTTCCCCCTCTCCCCTTTGACAGCCATCTGAGCCTCAAGGACGTGTCACGAAGAGGCCTATTGACTTACGGCTACCGCGCAATTTGCTGCTGGAACTGGTAATTATCCAAATCACGGCGTCAATAACATGGCCGAAGCATCCCCTTAGGCACAAGTGGCTGCTAAAGTGCACGCGTACCAGCTGTTCGGGTAAATGGACGTCAACAGGTCTCCGAAGCTTTCATGAGCTAAGGTACTCTACGGACTTGCGCACGTATTCGGAGGCTGAGCCCATTGCTCCTTTCTGAGGACTTTGCCAATAAAGAGACAGCTACGGAATCAGACGGCAATGAAGAGGCACTCAATCATCATCTCACATCGCCAAGCCATCCGCTAGATCTGTTTCTTCGGAGCTAGTTGTGACACTCTCCCCAGACTACCCCAGCTCCAGAGACCCCGAGGTCGGTATATTGATATCTGCACTTTACTATAACCTACCCCATATTTCCTCTCTCTTCTCGTTTTGTCTCCTCTCGTCCATCCTTACTACAAACCTCTGTTTCTCTGCTTTCCTCTAGTTTGTCAAATCATGGATACGGAAAAGGTAGAGACGGTGAACGACGTGGGCATGGTTGAGTATCAGGAAAAGCAAAAAGGTTTCATCTCCGCTGAACCAGACCTCACGGTAGACGAAAAGAAGCTTGAGAAGCGCTTGGTGCTCAAAGCCGATATCTTGATAGTGGGAATTACTTCCTTGGTGTTCCTTGTCAATCAATGGGTAAGTTCCCATGATGCCCCTTTCCAAGTGGCAGTTTAGCTTAGAAGACGGAATCTAAACATACACAGGACCGAGGGAACATTGGCAATGCTCGAGTAATGGGGCTTCAAGAAGACCTCGATATCAGCAACGGCCAGTTCTACGACGCCGTGTCTCTATACTGTGAGTCGACACTTGACGCTGCACACACACTTTGGGACAGTCTGCTGATTTGCTTCGAGATGTGGGCTATGTGATCTGCATCATACCAGCCAACCTATCCATCCGGTTCTTCAAGGCCCATCGACAGATTGGCGGCTGCGTCATCATATTCGCTACACTCTCATGCTGCATGGCTGCTGCGAAGAATGCCGCTGCCGTTCTCGCCCTTCGGATCCTGTTTGGTTTTGCATCCACCTTTCTTCAAGCCCTCACTCTGTATACCAGCCTGTGGTACAAGCGAAACGAACTCGCTATCCGAAGTGGTATGTCCATCTTCTGATTTCAACACAAATCAGTTTGCCGCGACGCTTGCCTGGCTATATACTACACCTACCTAGAGCTGATAGATATTGATAGGAGCGTTCTACTCGGCAGCCACAATCGCCGGTGGGTTCAGCGGCCTCATTGCCTATGCCATCCAAAAGAACTTGGACGGTGCCTTGGGCCATGAGGCGTGGCAGTGGCTGTTTATTATCCAGGGGTGTGCCGGCATCTTTGTTGGCATCTGTGCCTGGCTGCTGCTCCCTCCTCCTCCTGACCAGATCGAGAACATGAAGCACTGGGCGTTTACGAAGGCTGAACTCGAAGTGGCCATCAAACGCCTCAAAAGTTAGTTACGCCCTGTATCTCAATTGTAGAAACATTACTGACAGTGAGGATACTTATAGCCTACAACAAGGCCGGTGCTGGTTTTGATAAGCGTCAGATGCTGGCTGCATTCAAAGACCCCAAGGTATACCTTTGCTCGTTTATGAACGCTGGTGTGTCCCTTGGACTGGCCTCCATCAGTGCATTCTTACCAAGCTTCATTGAGCAGTTCGATCTTTCTCCCAGTAAGTGTTGCCCAATTTCACATGACATGGTTATGATCTGACGCTGATTCAATTTGAAATTGAAACGCAAAGCTCGAACTCAGCTCTTCTCCATCATCCCATATGCCTGCGCCTTTGTGACCCTCCTCGCCATCAACACCGCATCCGATCGCACAAACGTAAAGGGGCCTTTCCTGATGCTCTGTTTTGCCTTGTCAATCATTGGCTACATCGTCCTCATGGCGGTGACGAGCGTCAAGGTCAAGATCTTTGGCACCTGTCTCATCACCATGGGCGTCTTCCCCTGCGTTACCCTCCTGGGAGCTTGGACGAGCATCAATGTTGGCGGCTTCACGAAGCGTGCCATGACATGGGGCACTGCGGAGGTTGTCGGCCAGTGCTTTGCCATTTTGGCCTCTCACATCTACACTGACCCTCCGCGGTACATCAAGGGCCATGCCATTTGCTTGTCCTTCCAGGCCTTGGGCTTCCTTTCTGCGCTTGCAATGTGGATCTACATGCGATACCTGAACGACAAGAAGCAGAGGGAGGCTGCGGAGCATCAGGAAACGGGTACCGTTCATCCCTTGAGCCACCAGTCTCTTGAGGAGGTTTACGACCAGCATCCTGACTTTCGGTATATCCTGTAAACAGAAACTTTGCTGCTTGGCTCCAGAGAGTCTGAAGGGCTATGGCAGATGAAGGAGATGGTGACATCAAGTTGAGATACTACCTAGGAGGACTGACTATGTATTCTCAGCATGGCATTTTGAGGAGTAGCACTCATCCAAATGCAAATTTTGGCACTTATTCGCTGAACAAACAAGAGTTATAGCCAAGTTTCTACTGACGCCCCAATGGTGTCACCGAGATATGTACTGGCGGGCTATGGGTTCCGATGCTTGGGCTTCCCCAGATCCAAGATACCTAGAACTTGGACTTCCAAGGCTGTGCCGCTACTGCAAAAACTTGCCGGTTTGGGTAATTTGACCGAGCAACGAGTGAGCATTGCCTGCTGGGCAGAAGTCAGGGGATAGAGTGAGTCACCCTCAGGTCTCGCAGATACCACCTATGAACTCGATGGAGACAGGTCAATGAGAGATCATGCAGTGGAAAGGAATATATATAGCTTTCACGTCATCTCTCCCTTATCATGTATAAACCTATATGCGTCTCTTAATAAGCTGCATACAGTCCAGCGACTCTTCTCCGAAGAAAAGCGTCCGTCATTCTCATTCCCACGCCCCCTTATCCCTTACCACACACACAATGCGTACCAGCGAGCCCCAACCTCCCCTCGTAGCAGACGTCTTCTACATTGGCGGAGAATACATCACAGACTCCCGAGGAACACACATGACAGGATCCATGTACGTCCGGCGCCACGGACACAGAGTCCCCGGCCAGCCCCCCATCGTCTTCATCCACGGCGCTTCGCAAACGGGATCGACCTGGGAGGCAACGCCCGACAACCGCCCCGGCCTGGCTCTGCTCCAGGCCGCAGACAACTGGGAGTGCTACGTCGTCGACCAGCCGGGCGTTGGCCGGTCCCGTTATCACGAGGCGGACATGGGCCCGCTGACGCATTACACGGCGGAAGAGCTCGAGGCGGCGTTCACTGCGCCTCCGCAGCAGGAGTCGTCGCCCTGGGCTCGTCGTCATACGCAGTGGCCTGGGTCCGGCAGGCGAGGGGATCCCATATTCGACGCCTTTTACGCAAGCCAGGTCGGACATGTCGGGAGCTATCCCAGGGCCGAGGGCCTCTTCAGGCCGGCCATCAAGGCACTGCTCAACAAGATCGGCCCGGCGTTTCTCGTCACCCATTCGCAGTCGGGCCCTCTCGGGTGGCACGCGGCCGACGCCTGTCCGGGGCTGGTCTGCGGGATCGTGGCCCTGGAACCGCATGGCCCGCCATTCGTCTATCCGGACTGTCCACCGTTCAACGCGCGGCCGGAGATAGTCGGCAAGCTGTCACATCCGTTTGGAATCACCAGCACACCGCTAGAATACGATCCGCCATTGCCGGTAGGTGCTGAAAAGCTGCCATATCGTTGGGTGATGCCAGCGCAAGGCAAGGCCAGCATCATCGAGGTGACGGGCAGACACGCTGGTCTCATCAAGGGACCCCGACAGGAGGCGCCCGTACGGCAGCTGAAGAACCTCTGCCACACTCCGGTCGTTTTGGTGACTGCTGAAGGGTCGTATCATTCTCAATATGACCATCTCACTGCTGAGTTCCTCCGTGAAGCAGGGGTTCCTGTAGAGCATGTCCATCTCGCGGACGAGGGCATCTGCGGAAATGGTCATATGATGGCGATTGAGAAGAATAACAGAGAAATTCAAGAGTTTATACACAGATGGTTGAAGAAGCAAGTCGCAACTACAGGTTGGAAGGGGTTACCATGTTGTCTCAACCCACAGAGCGAAGGAGTGCGGTAGACGAGAAGCGAACTGGTAGAGACAGGGGCTTTTTGCAAAGAGCAAGAATCTGGCGCAAAAATATATAGATGCTCCAGAGGTATATAAAGGCCAATCCATTCCAAACCAATCCGATAAGATACGCCTGAAGAAAATGCTCGCTGTATCAAACCCGGCCAACGCCATGCTTCCCGAGAAAAATGTCAAAGTCGCTCATGATGAATGCTGAAAAGTGTTCTCCGCCCCGTCCATGCTGCTCAGATCCTTGGACAGAGCCCAACGAGGACACGACCGGGCCGAGGCTGCACGAGGAAAGGAGAAAAGCGTCGTTGTCTTCCTTGAGCTGCGCCGCTGCACCCGGCCCTGCCAGGATAACGACCATGCCCTCGGAAATTAAACAACATGTTGACGCTGCTTGAACTGCGCCGCTGCACCCAGCCCTGCCAGGATAACGACCATGTTCCGCCCCAGGCACCGCGTCCCTGACCTCGAGCTACGCCGCTGCACCCAGCCCTGCCGGGATAACGACCATGCTGTCAGTCGGACGATGCGCCATCGTTTCTCCGAACTAATCGCTGCACCCAGCCCTGCCAGGATAACGATCATGTTCTTAGAACCTCGTGATAGCCTCGAAGCCCAGTAATGTCCTCTTGACCCAGTCTCACGAAACCGGGTGTGGCTTACCTGAAGCATCCAGCTCCCAAAGTGGTGATGATGTGCTTCTTCGGGACGACCTGTAGGTCCGAGGGGTCTGAGAAGCAGCCCGAGAAGCCTTTGCGCGCGTGGTGCGCAGAACAGGACCCCCTTTTCGATATTTGCGTTTACCATGAGCGGTGCCTGCTCCGGGAGTCCCCAGTGACTTGCTTTGATTCCTCAGTTGATTGTTTGCTAACGCGTTGCCTGGACTTGTCGAGGGAACGCCATCTGCTGCAGTATCTTCTCCCGATTCGGCGGATGAGGTATGGGACGTTGGGGGAGAGGGCAAGCTCTCTATCTTTTGTCGTTTATATCCATTGTCCTCGCCGTCATCATCAGACCTGGATCTCTTCCGAGGGTTTTGACGTGGTGGGGTGGGAGCAGCGTTGTGCTCCAGTTTGCGACGCTTGGGCTCCTGGACTACGGCATCCTCGTCTGGCCGAACCCTCTTCTTTGTCAAAGCCGCGCTTCCGTCGTCGCCCAGAGGGCTTATTTGTACCTCTCGGACCGCATCTCCGTTGTCTTTGGTCAAGAGACGTTTATCGCTCGATATAGGTCGGGGAAGTTGCTGTGTTGGAGGGCTCTGGCTAACGGCCTCGGAAGCCCCATAGGTCGTTCCATCAGAAGTGAACGATGTGTATTCAACACAAGGCCCTGTGAGGATTATTTCGTCACTCGGCGTTTGCTCCCTAGTGCTGCCCTCACTCCGGGTCCTGTAATCTAGTTCGTAGTCATCGGGGTGCTGTGCATCCCAATACCGAGGCATAGGGCCATTCATATAGGGATAGCCGCTGTGATCAGCATGGGCCCGCGCCTCCAGTACCACGTCCCTCGTCTGCTCTTCAGCAGGGTTCCGCGCCTTGGCGTCGAGGTTCTCGTGGATATCGTTATCCGGCGGCGCCTCGTGCTCTGCGTCCGCTCCCACCACCGCCGCTTTCCTGCCAGACACGACGCCCTCCAAGAGTTGCACAAAGTACTGGAGACAGCCAGTCTGAGAGGCATAAATGGCCGTAAGCCAAGCATCGTTGCTCGTGAAGGTTTCTGCGTTGGCCAGGGCGTCCTTGAGGGCATGGTCCATAATGGCTGTGAGTTTCTTCCGTTGCTGCCGATTAATCTTGTCGAATTTCTGCTCGAATTCCTCCTGACCACTAGACTCCTTGGCTACTGCTATCGCTATGTTGTAGTATTCGTCTTCGTCAAACAGTGGGATCTGCATCGTATTGTACCGCCGCCAATAGTCGCCCCAAAGGAAGTCTGGGTGCTTGATATCGTGGGGGGCCGTCCTCCTCCATTCTGCATTCCTATGTTTATGATGACGCGGGTTTGGCGGTTCGAATGGATGGAGGATCATGACTGATATATCTCAGCCGTGCTGGCTTGGGGCTCAGTGCTTCTTCGTTGTCGCCGTCGCTGCCGTCGCTGCCGCGATCGCTATTGTCGCTGTCGCAGTTCGTAGTTTATGACTCGGATCGCTTGTTGACCGCGTTAGAGGGGAGAAGAAAAGCTGTGGCAGAGTCGCGACCCTCGTTTGCAGCTGTCTGTGCGCCAAATGGCGGGTGTGCCGGGGGGATGAAAGGTTGAGAATGGCGATGTTGGAATGGCGTGAAGGCGTTGAAGTTGGCGAGCCCAGGAAATGGCTGGGTGCACCTCAGCGAAAGTGGCGGAGCCGCTACGTCCCGATCGGGCTGTGGCGCAGGACATTTCGTTGTTGGGTGCTTTTGAACGCCAAGTGTGTGCCACAAGGAGCTCTGGATGCCTACCTAGGTATATTTTAGCGAGCAGGGCGGTCGTTGGCAGACTGTTCATGTTGCCGAGCAGTGCACGCCCGCACAGCAAAACCTGCTGCAGCAACCGTGAATGGCTGTGCCTCTGCGCTTGTACGACGCAAAGACGTTTGGTCAGCAGCTGCAAGGCTTTTTGGAATCGGATGTGATGCGCTGGCAAATCCAGTTTCTCTCTGGTTGTGTTGGACGAATGCGCCTGTAATACATAATCGAACAAGTACAGCCGACATCTGGTTCTCGTTGTGTAGGTACCTTACCTGTCCGACAAGTGCTAAGGTGCCAGATAGTACTACCTAAGGTACTAAGGTAGCAGTACTAACTTGAAGGTAAGGATAGGTACCTTACCTACTAGGTAGGTACTTCCATCTCCATGGCGTCCAGTGGCTTTTCTAGCGTTTAGCGGCCCGGTTGCCGCCCGGCGCCTTTAGGGGAGGGAGTGGCGGTGCGTTCTGCTGACGGGAGGAACGAAGTCGGGAACCTGTAATCGAAGCTGGAGGTAAATTAGCACCCGCTACCTACTTACCTAGGTACCTACCTAGTACCTACTACTGTACCTCATCAGCCGCCTGATGCACGTCCATGGATCCAAGGCTCTCCCCGGGTCAGTGCAGATGAACCAAATGCTCTGTACGACGGGCCATCCTCTCCCATGAGCTGCAGCTTCAAGGCAGCTGGACCGCCTGCCTGCGTGCCTCGCCCGCAGTTATAACGAGGTCATGTACCGCTCGACCTGCCTGCTCGGTTCGTACATTGTAGCGTCTCGATCAGCATCTCGCAAGCGTCCCACGCGTCTGCTCTCCATCTACATCTACATCTACCTACAACCACAGCCGACGTATGTAGAGCCCTCGGCATCGCCATCATGCCTCTACAGACGCAGAATATCAGCCATGCCAGCGGGCCTGCTTATTCCCCGTCCTTTCACAGTTCTGCCTCTGCAACGCAGATTGATTCTCGTGCTGCTGCTGCTGCTGCTGCTACTCAAAGAGAACAGGAACGGACTGTCGAGCTTGAGCGTGAAGCTCAACCACAGGCCAAATCCACCTACAAAGCCCCAGAAAGTCAACAGACGTCGTCAGTCGTAGCTGATGGAGCGAATACCCCCAAGGCTCCAACTGTCGACCAGATAAGGACGCTTCTCTATGCTGCCTTGCCTTCTGCCGAGGGCGCCCGGTTGATCATTGCATCGCCTCAATATCCCAATGACGCAAGCGAGGACTCTTCGGTTGTTCGGCTCCCACAGGAGATTGAGGGCAGGGTGACGTTTGGCCTCGTGCAAAGCTCCCAGCATATGGACTACCTCGTTCAACAACCGCTCCAATACGGCTCGTCCGCTGTTGAACTGTGCTATGAAGTCATCTTTATTCCGGGCAGCGATGATTGTCTACTCAGGAACTGTTCAAAGGCGCCGCTTCATATGACATGCCTCGATTCTCGCTGGACTCGGTGGCTGATACGAGAGAACCGTCGTGCCGTGATCCGTCCTGGGCTGTGGAGGATTTCCCTCGTTCGCAATGGAGACGACGCGTCTGACCGACTTTGTACTGAGATTATGCTCCTCAGGAGACAGTATACAGTGGCAATTCACAGGGCAATTGACTCGTCGTTAGCCAAACGAGCCGCCAGCGAAGACGACGCGGAGAATCGCGGCAAGCGACGAAAGCTGGGCAAAGACGAGACAGAAGATGTCGCCATTCCGCCCGCTTCCAAGACGGCCCCCGGATCAGACTCCATCGCCAAGAGGGCAGACATTGTCCAGAGCCGCCAGCTGACGCCCTCTTCCGTTCGAGAGCTTGTCAATCAAACGGGCATCCCGCTTCTAGAGCTTGCAGACAAAGAGACGGCAGTCATCAGCAGCCTGCACATCAACAACGGTGAGGATCCGCAGCCAACGCCCGTCTCCACGGCATATGGTTCGGATTCATATCACCTCAGTCGAATTCAGTACATGGGGCATACTTCGTCCACCAGTGTCTTTTCTTGCCGGCATTCTGCTATACCGGGGCTGGTAGTAGCCAAAGTCCCTCGATATGACGGCAAGTCGATCGAGCAAGTACCTTCATTTGCGCGCTCGTGGAAGAGAGAAAGGGATATGCTCAGGGGCCACAAACATGTATGTCCTCCCATCGCCATCATCCCACCTCGCCTCGCCTCAAATACCTCCTGCTAACAGAACTGAAGAGAAACATAGTGGCGCTCAAGGCCTTTGATGCACGCATGTTCGCCTTGTACTTGGAGGTCCTGCCCAGGTCACTTTATCGTGGCAACATGTCGACGTTCACATTGAGCGATGTTGCGACCATTCTCTACGACATTGCGTCTGCCCTCGTTTACCTGTACGACAAGTCCATCATCCACAACGACATCAAGCCAGGTAACATTGCGTTTTCTCCCCAGCGAGGCGCCGTTCTTTTCGACTTTGGGATGGCCACGAATGACGAGGATCAAGCGACCGGGGGGACGATGTGGTATCTTCCTCCAGATATTATCCACCGCAAGCGACGGGGCTTCCCAGGAGACGTGTGGGCACTAGGAATTACAGCGTCTTACTTGCTTGGCAAGATGCAGATTCCCGAAAGGTGTGGGATCAGATGGGACATGGCTGATTCGGGCAAGAAAAAGGGCTCGGATCAGGCTATGATGGCATGGTTCAATCTCGTCAAGGAGAAGAGGGAGGAGCTGGACAGGGACAACAAGCTCGAAAGCATAGTCTACGATATGCTCCATTGGAAGGCTGAGTCTCGGATAACGGCCGAGGGCATTACAGCAGCGCTCGACTCGTTCAAGTTGGAGTCGGTTGAAGGTCCGACATGCGATGGACAGCGTTTGACGAGGTCGCGAACAAAGTCTCCTTTAGTAGGGTAGATTGGTATACATGGTGCAGGCAATTGTGATGGCGTTTCATAGGAGAAATCAAAGATGGCCTCAATGACACAAGTCTATTGATCTACCTATCAGGGGCAATACACCCGTGTCATGTCCCAGTCCCGAGGGTGCGATCTGGATCCTCAAGCATGAGTCGCCAGCACTTCCACTTACGGCTTACAAGACTTGCTTTGCTTCATAATCATATGCACGAGGCTATCCTTTCTCCGAAACGCCTCGGAAAACAACTTGAGCTTGCCTTCGTCGAGAGCGCGACGCGCATCAGCCGCAGACCTGAAGCCGGAGCGCGACCCCTTGGCCCTGACGCCGAGAGGTCCAATGAGCAAGCCGAGGATGGCAAAGGGCGCAGAGAGGGGATCATCGACGATTTCCACAACCGTGAGGGCGCCGTTGCCAAGCTCGGCGGCGAGGGCCAGGCCGCGCGCGATGAGGCTTGCGGCGCCAAAAGCCGCGGCGGCACCCTCGGCAACCAACGGCAGGATGGCGAAGACGATCTCGAGGATCTGGAGCACGCGCTCGTGCTGCTTCTTCTCCTCCTCCTTCTCTCCAATCTCCTTGATCTTCTTGATGGACTCGATGGCGTCTTCGAGCATGAAGACGGGCATGCTAAAGGCAACGGCCGGGTCCTCGTAGCTGACTTCGAGGCTGCCCATGCGCACCAGCGGGATGGTCCAGGCCAGCAGTTGCGCGAGCTCGTCCATCCTGGGAAGGGCCTCGTCCACGAGCTCCTTTGGGTCGGGCACGTCGATCTTGGACGCGTCCTTGATGCGTCGCGGAAAGTTCTTGTACATGACAAAGTAGTTCATGCATCTGCAGAAGGTCCCTCCTCCTCCTGGTGGGCACGTGCAAGGATCGCGGACGGCATAGTCTTCAAAGGTGACCCAGTCTCTCTCAATGTTGTGCGAGGCCTGCAGTGCCTTGTAGAAGCCGTCCTCGTCTCGAAGCGTGTACTCGATGTACCGGGCTCCTGGATTCGATGGGTCAACCCTGAGCTTCATTTCTGAGCAGGGGCCCGAACCCTCGCTCACTTCGCTTTCCCACTTGCAGTCCATGTACTTGTTGCCTTCGCCACTGCCGGTCATGAAGTCGAGGAGATCATCGTTGATGCCGTCCTTGACCCACTCGACGTACCATTTGAACTGCAGTCAATGTCATCAGTCTGGCCATCAAAGAGCGGAACTACAACCCGATTTGAGGGGAAAATCAAATAAACTGAATAAACATACCTTTTTGTCGTAACCCTCTGACACCTCTTTGTAGGCCTCGACTGCTAGGGAAAGCTGAGACGAGAGAACGGTCAAGATGTAAAACGAGGCGCATCGGCTGTCCAAGTCTTGAGGTATGTCCTCAAGAGTCTCATAGGTGCCCTCGCAGGTATCAAACAGCTCGTCGAGCCCGTCGGTGTCTTCTTTCTCCGCCCCGTCCAGGTCATACATGTCCACCCACCATTCTTCCAAGTCGATGGCCCAGTTTGAGATGCCGCCAAAGTTGAGAGCCTAAACGCTGAGTCAGACCGATAATCCTGAGGATGTTGACTTGGGCCAATTTCATAGAGGAAGAAGCAATGCATCTCGTTACCTGGTACTTCTTGATTCTGGCCTCCTTGACCGACTTGCTCATGTACGCGACCCATTGTGTCTCTAAACAGGTGGAGTGAGTAGAGTCAGCACGAGTCTTTGCTCAGCCTTGTGGGAGGGCGGGAGTGGGTGGCCTGGGAAAGTAGACTCGAGTACTCACGATTATATATGAGATAATCGCTGTCTGTTTTCTCATCGTACCACGCCTGGACAGGATAACTCTTCCTATCCTCCATAATGTCCAGTATCTCGGCATTGGAGATGTAGCCGGATGAATTGGTGCATCCCCCCGGGGCAGCCAGAGACTGGGGACCTGTAAAAGTGCACATGGGCCCTTTGCACTTGGGGTCGTTCATCTCGAAGGAGCGTCCGTAGCTTGCAACGCCGACAACAACCTGCCTCGCCTCGACACCGGCCTTTGTGATCATGGCCAATGCATTAAGCGTCTCCGTCATGTTGACTAGATGCAGTCAGCCACGGTCAAGAAACAGGGGAGGGACAAGACACATACACAAAAAAATAAAAAGGAGGGGGGGTGTAAACATCTTGGAAAGGGGGCACGAGGGAGGCGGGGGGTTGTCCATACCATGAGATCTCAGGCAGCTGCCTTTTGGGCATCCATCGCTGGCCCATCGACTGTTGAAATCCCACTGGCCTGTGCCATACATTAGGTCATGGTCAGCTTTGGTTTCATCATGCATATGGGTACCGATACCCTTCCCTTGGAGGTTTAGGTGTAAGTAAGCCTCACCATGAAGATCATATGTCATGTAGACGATGTAGTCGACCGTCTTTGCAATGTCGGCAATGGGAAATGCTTTGAGGTACCAGAATGACGCAGGCGCCGCGATCGAAAGACTCATCTCCGCTGGCAGCTTCTTTCTCAAGAGCTGCAAGAATCTGAGATAGTTGGCAGGGTCCTCTGGGGATCCGGCAGGAATGGGAAGATCGGTAGCCTTTGGTATGTGCAGAGACGTTGAGGTCAGCTCGTCAATCCATCAACCTTTGCGGCCAGCGTGGAGATGTAACTCACGCCGGGATACTCCCAGTCAAAATCGACGCCGTCCAGCTTGTGCTGCTTCAGAAAGTCGACAACCTGGGTGGCGAAGAACTCGCGATGTTCCGGCTTGATTGCTTGACGAAGCGTGGCGTAAGTGTCGACGCCGACAGAGAACGACCAGCCGCCAAAGGCCGCGATGCGCTTGATGCCGCTCAAGCCCTTGAAGTGCTCAAACTGGCCGCGCGGATCCTGGACGCTGACTTTGAGGTCCTTGGTGATGTTGACAAAGGCGAAATGCAGGTGCGTGTATCCTTGACCCAGGTCGCCCACCGTTCGGACGTCCATGTGCATGCATGAGCGGTCGAGATTCCACGACTCGTAGTACGTCACCTTCTTGAAGCTGTCGGGTGCCTCTTTGTTGTTCACGATGCCCATGCCACAGTTGGAAATGCATCCGTTCTCCCCAGGCCGAGACGTGCCCGGATTCCCGGTTCCAGACCTGGAGATGGTGCAGAACTCCTTCGTTGTCCCTGCACGTCGTCAGTTTACCTTACCTACCTAGGTACCCGTGCAAGGTCTCGCATATAGGTAGGTTCAAGTTAATCACGTACCGCAACTGCCCCATATGTTGCAGCAAGCGTTCAAGGGGCACGGGTTGAGGGTAGCAAGTGCAACACCCGCTGGTGGCTTCTTGGTCCCGGGTTTGGTTGGCCCACATACTGCATTGGGCACAGGAGCCGGCAGAGGAGGAGTCCCTTTGCTAAGGCAGATGGACTGACCAACGAGAAGAGATTTGCATCCATTCCAGCCCCTTGGGGAGGAAGAGTCAACCTACTATTCTGAGGGCTTGAGGATGGGGAAAGATGGGGGGGGGGGGAAGGGTTACCAAGTCTTCCTATTAAACTCCACCACGTCGGTTGTTTCGAGGCCGTTTGAAGCAGCAATATCCGCACAAGTGTCACTACTCTGTGAGGAAAGGGGACATATTAGCTGCAAATGATTATAACTTCATGCTCATAAGTCCATACCTTGACGGTATAAGTGGCACACTCTCCGCTCGGCTTGGGCTTGGGTCGCAAATCGGGCAGCTTTCCAGGAGAGCAGCAGACAGGCTTTCCGACGGCTAACTTAGAGCAGAGTCTCTTGTCATAGCTATTGTATCTCTCAAAGTTGGCTCCGCTGACGCCACATTTGGAGGCGAGACTTGCACACGAGTCGCCAGGGACGACTTTGATGGCCTTGCACTCGCCTCGCGGGTGGAGATGAGTGTGAGAATGTCGGGTCAGGGGACGACCTGGCAGGTCTGACCGTGTCCAGATATTCAAGTCGGTCAGGGTGCTTATTTCTGACGAATCATCAGTTGGCGCGCATTCCGCCCTGCTCCAAGATGCAACACAGCTCTGGACGGCAGCAAGGTCATTCTCAAAGCTAATGGCAACGCCCACGGTATGTTCCGAGTTTCTGCCTTGTCCACAAATCTGGGCCAAGCTTCGGGAGGCACCGGTTGTATACGGGCTGTCGACGAGGCCTGGCGCAAGAGCAGACACGGCACTGGCTGCATCAACGCTCGCACCGACGTAGAGTCCAAGGACGGTATTGTGTACACTAGATCGAGGTTCTTGATATCAGCAAGGTAGAGAAGAAGCATAGAGATGAAAAGAAAAAGGAGGTTTTATGCTTACGAGGCAAAGAGGATGATATTCTCTCCTGAATCAGTTGCCTCGCCAAGATGATGCCGAAGACTATCAAATGCTACCACAGCATTCAGTCCGCTTTCAGCCTCGCCTGGAGACCACCGTGCAATATCAGCGCTGGAAAGGTGAGCATCGCCGGGCATATGCGTTTCGCTGTGCTGACTTCCATGATGCGTCGAGTTGAGGACTTGTCGTTCAGTCATGTTTGCTGCAGTACAAGCGCGGAATCTGAGTGTAGATTCAGGATCATCAACACGAACATGAATGGCAAAGTCGAAGAGCATGGGCTGGTCACAGAGTGACAAGCTTTCCATAGAGGAATATGCAGTCCATTCATGCCGTCCGTTGCCGACACACAGGGAAGGGCATTGAGGGTTTCCAACCTCATGCATGGCTTCAGACTGCGCAAGATGAGCCAAACCGACGGCAGTGGTGAGTCTGATCAGGACACGAGGTGAAAGACGCCAAGCCATTGAGACGGTCTCTGCGCGTAGGCAACGAAAATAGAATGAGAAGTCAGATGGAAAGATGGACAAATGCAAAGGTTTGGGAATGCTGAGGGTTAATCAAAGTATACCGGGCTAGAATGAGTGAGATCAAGAGTCCGAGGAGAGACTTTGTTCGGGGGGAGAGGGGGGTGCTATCACTTTGATCATAAGGTTCCCCTGAACAGTGCACGCGTCGCCCGACCCTCTCGCCTCAAGAAGAATCCTGAAGAATCCAACGGTTCAAGGGCTCATTGATTGTTAATAACGGAGCAAACTAAGCCTATGCAACATGTCGGTGCGCGTAGATAGATGCGAAGCAGCAAACGGGCGGTCATTCCGAGAGTCGGGGTATGTGCATGGTGGCTTGCCCCCCCCCCCCCTTGTTCGCTTCATCAACAGGGGCATATGGCTCGTAACAGACGAGCGTGTTAGGCAATTGCCGTCTCTTGACAGTACTTTGCAGATGGAGCAGTTCTCAACGCCGTTGTTGGACAAGAGTGTTTGAGGGTTAGCCTTCAGTATATCATGCTAGATTGTATATAAATATTGTGATGAGCCAACCCCTTCAACTGACCATTACTTTACTATCACTCGGTCCATTGCTTCTACGCCTCTCTAGACACATTCTTTACTTGTCGATACATTTTTCATTCTATCTCCTACAATGAGAGTTTCTCTCTGTCTGAGCGTTTGCCTACTTATCCTCCACGCCATCGCGGGTGGCATTCGGGGAGCTTTTGAACGCCTATACATCTGGTGGGCTTATCAAGCGGAGATCGAATATGCACACAAGGTCTTTGATTCTTTCGACGTCAGCAAGCTGCAAATCTGCCATGGCCAGAGGGGAAGCGGCCCAGGGGCAACTCTCACGTTCGCAGAGTTTCTCGAACTCAGCAACAGACAAGGCAACACTAAGGGAGCTGTCACCAGCAAGACCTTCAAACCAGATTCCATCGGCAGCACGGCAGAAATCATGCTAAAGCTCACAGGGCAATACCAAATGCAAGAGCGATGGCCAAGACCGACGAACATTATATCCTCCTCTCAGGGCAGATACACGGACATGCTAGATGAGGTTTCCAATGTATTGTCCAAATGCAAGCAGGACCTGGGCGACAGCAGAAGCATCAATTTGGCCTTGGATGCCTTCACAAGAGTAATCAGATGGCGTAAGGCAGACTACGAAAAGCATCGTTTCCCTGCCCTAAAGTCAAACAAAGACTTTGAGGCCATCAAAGAATGGAGGTTTTGGACTGTTGGGGGTGACAAAAGAAATAAGGGGTTATGGCGCAACTACATCGACTTCGAGGGTACCATAGCTTCTGCGCACAATTCGGGGTACAAGGACATTGAGAATCTTGAGAGTCATGTACTTAACTGGGAGCGAACCACATACTTCAAGGGCACTGATGGCGCAAGGGCAAGTCAGCACAAACACACGATAGTGGCCATCCAGGATGCGCTCACTAGATATCGCAGTGCCACTGGCTGCTGATGAGTTGAAGGGTGCTGGGCCGTCGGGGACTACAGAAGGGGGGGTTTATTATGTACTTTCCGTGTGGAATTAATATGCACGATAAGTGAAGTATGTTGGGGGAAGAGGAGATGCAGGTCAGCCGTGTTGGAAGGGGAAGAGAAGGATGCTCTTGGATGGTTCTCCTTTTTTTGTTTTGTCTTGAGGCTCTTTTACTTTATCGTCTGAATTACTTTGGAAATGATACGTATCAAAGGTCATTGCAATCCTTTTGTTCCTCCTTCAGGCACAAGCAGGAGCATGCAGTGGTCGGTTGGTTTCGAGGCCACTGAGGCTCTAGTCCCAGGCTGTGTTCAGGTGTCACGGACATGAGTACATGTATGTATGTAGGTAGGCACACACAGACATCCATGGGTAGACTGAATGCACTGTCTCTTCCACGCCTCAACCAGAATGTCGGTGAATCTCCCTCATGTTTGCGCAATGTTACACGACCCGTTCCCTCTGCAATGTGCCGCTCTCGGGCTATGTATATACATACATGGATCAGCCAAGCAAACACCTGGGCATGTCAGATGACACCGCCGACCTCATACAAGAGCATGCTTGCCTGCATGCCTTTGTCCCTGTTTTGGAGGCGGGAAGAGAGCAAACAAGCTTATGGATCAGCCGTTCCAAATCTTCGTTCAGCTGGCTTGGCCGAAACACGGCCTGGCCGAGGTATTTTTCGTGTCTTGATGCACGTACCTTTCCGATGCCCGTCCTCTTCCGCTACCCACCTCCATGTAGGTAGGTCCCGACTTGCCTGAGGTATTAACGCTTGGCCTACAGATTTTCCGCCCCAAGTTTTCTGCTTCTCTTCTCTTCTCATCTCATCTCTTCTCTTCTCTTTCCCCCTCGTCAGGGCAACGCCACTCTGCAGCCTCCATGATGGCGAGCAATATCGCCCTAGGCAGCCCTTCACAAAACAGCCGGCTCGAGGGCCTCCCCTGCCTGATCCAGCACAATGTACTGACGATGCTCGACCTGTGCGACATTGACTCCCTGGCACGTGCGTCTCCGGTGCTTTACCAGCTGGTCAAGCGAGATCGAGCTTCTCTCATCTATAGGCGGCTCAAGAGCACGCTGGGGAGTGTGCTGGTGGATGCGTACGCAGCATACCAGACATCGTTTCCGCCGTGGACCGACAGCATACGCGACCTGCCCGTCGTCGAGCCGTTTCTCGAGTCCTATGCAAACAGACTTCGCTCCGACAAGACAGGGCCATCGATCGACGATCTCGGCGAGAAGGCCATCATCGGCATGTGGACGTTTCACACAACAATCGTCGAACCGCTGATTGACGTATACGCCCGAATGACTCTCGAGAAGCTCTCAAGCCACCTCGAGGTGAAGAACAATATAGCTTATGTGAGCAACTGGATACCAGACGGAGATGGACCAGACGTCAGCAGTCCGGAACCTCCGCTGAGCCCGACAGAGCGCATGCGCATCCTGAGAGCCATGTATCGCTTCCAGCTGCACGGCCACATCTTCGGGTCCCAAGGCCGGACCAGGCCGAGGTTTGAAGATGACCCATATGTGTCTATAGACGATGTCACACGGCTCTTCTTCAATCTGTTCGAGCCCTGGGAGTTTGAGGAGATTGCGAGTTTCGAGTATCATGCTTATAATGTGTGGAACGCCATTTGCATGACTTTTGGTGACGAGATACGCGAAACAAGCCCTCTTTTTGAGTTTGTGAGTCCTCCAGCTGGCAAGCGGCTCATGGAACCCTGTGAGTTACTGAACCCCCCCCCCCCCCCCCCCCTTTTCTTCCACCCTTCCTCACCCTCCCTCTCGAACTCTCGTTATCTGCCTTGGCCCATATGCCTAACAACCCGCGGGAGCTCTTTAGGTGTCATGGACCACGTCGTAGCTGGCACCGTTTCTCGGGGCTTGAGACCTCTGCATGCGATTTCCTTTGTCGGCGGCGATGCTGCGAAGCGCATCAAGGTGATGCACGAGGTACTGGCATGGCCCACGATTGAGTTTAATTGCATTAGCATCTGGTGGAGTAGATACTTTCTGAGATATCGAAAGCATAACCCGACGGAGCGTGACTGGAAAGAGGTCCGCGGCGACCGTTTGCCGTTCAACGGAGATGGAGAGTCGGACGAGCTGCAGCCTCGCCCTCCCGCGGCCTGGGTAATGCTCTGGAGAGGAAGATACTCGAATGTACGCTCTGTTCACTGGCAATTACATGATTGGGGATACGTGATGTGGGATAAGGAGCGGATAGATGCCACCGGGGCGGGAAAAATCCTTTACGACTACATCGTCGAGGACAGCGGGTTTGGCACCATAGACTACCCCAGCTCTGAGGAAGATGGTTATGATTCTTGGCTGGACGATGAGGCTGAGTTTGAAGAGACTGGGTCCGGCCATAGCTTAAGCCGGCAGACAAGTAGCGCTGATGTATGACGGGAGAGGATAGGTTGGCCGAAGACGAGGCAGACTGGTATCTAGATATGATAGAGGGAGACTGGCATCTAGATAGTGATCAAGCTTCCAAGTCCTAGCGGCTGATATGAAAGACAAATCAAGACTCGAGCCTTTTCTCTAAAGAGTCTTATTGTGGGACACGTATCAACGGATCCGGAGCCTTCATCATGACCAGCGCGCAGCTCCAATCCAGCCTATGCCTTGGGCGCGCGCCAACATGTGCATCAAGACTTTGTCCTGTGTTCCCAGCTACCGCCAGACCAGGTCAGCTCCCAGAATCCACAACTCGCAGGTTATCCAAAGGCAACTCACAGATCCAAAAAGAGCCTCCACAAAATGGAAAACAGAAGTCCCTGCAGGCCGTTGCTCAAGATGCGTGTCTTCAGGCCGCGCCCCAGCAGCCCCGATACTCCGTCGTCCCGAACCACCAGCCGCACGGCCTCTCCTGCATTCCAAAAAAGAAAGAAAAAAGAAGTTAGCAAAATAACAGCCACTAAAGCATATAAAGAGGCATGTTATGAGAAAGCTTTTACCGTAGGAGACTTTGGTGTCGTTGACCTGGCGGTAGGTCTTAATTACCCTCAAAGAGTTGGACACGGAATCCGAGATGATGGAGGCGATGAACCCGATAAAGGCCAGGCGCAGCAGCCACAGGAACAGCTCGCTTTTCGGTGGCTCCTTGATGGCTTCGGTCAGGAGGTTATACTGGCAGCAAAGTGTAAGCAACAAGGGGTATATTATCAAGTCAACCCCTTTTCCAAAAGACCACAAAAGGAGCCAGCAAATCGTACCGTGGCAAACCAGGGGTAGTGTCCGACAAAAGTCGCTCCCGCGGTGGCAAACGCTCCCCACCATAGAGTCCCGATTCCGTGCTCCTTGATGCGTTTTCGGAGGAGGGCGGTTCCGTGGGAGCCTTGCGCCTGGAGGGTCGTCTTGAGGGTGTCGACGGGGGTGAGGATCATGCGGAAGCCGGCGGCACTTTTGAAAGGTCGCCCATGTTAGGGGGGTACGAAAATTTGATCATGTCATGAGCGAATACGGAGGTTTGGCGTACCAGAGGGAGGCAAAGACTGTCTTTGCGAGCGAGGGCAGATTCTTCAGGTACGAGTTGGACTGCAGCAGCGCCAGGATTCCGGCGTTGGCAGCCGTGTCTCCGAATCTTGCCACGGGGCCTATATGTATCGATGCCATCAGGACCTGAACACCAGCATCTTCTTCTGTGGATGTAGAGTATGGCTCACCTTGAATAAGTGCAGCTCCGATGCCCGAGTAGTATCGACCAAGTCCACCGTCAGCGTAGAGAATCTGCGTGGCCTGAGAGAAGGATGTTCCGAAGCGGTACTGATAGTTCATGATTGTTCGGAGAGGCTGCAGTAGAAGTCAGATGATTGATTGCATATATTGAAAAAGGCACACGTCGAATACAACAAAGTCAAATTGATTGAAAAGAATGTGAGAGGGTGAAAGGAGGCCATACCATCAGGAGCAACACCTGCAGAACCATTGCCGCCGCGCCACTCAAACCGCCTCCCAGGGCTTTTCTGAGCGCAGCCTTAAGATCAAACTAGGTTTTACTTTCTCGTCAGATAACGGACAGCTCATGGAACTTGGTAGATTCGGATCGCCGCAGCAGCACACACATTGACATCGCCGTCGGCATCGATCCAGCCCTTGATGAACACGACAAGGACTAGAGCCGCGACCAGAGCCCAGACGATCCTCCACAAAACCCAATGGGTGGACTTCTTCTCGTTCACTTGCTGTTCCTGCGGAGAATGGTCTGGCTGCTCTCCTGCCAGTAGAGATGTGTTTTCATTGGGACCTGATTGGGTCTCGACGTCGTCGTCCTCATGAGCCATGGTGTGTGGCCTGCGTCCAGGTTGACGCGTAATATTAGATACACAGACGGAGAAATATTTCAGGGCTTTTTGGTCCAAGGGTTGAAGAGTCTAGTGATTGTGCGGAGAAAACAAATACAAAGCAAGGGATAGTAGGTATATCTAAGGAGTACAGTATGTCTCTGGGCCCTTGTCATATGATTGACTGAGTTGCAGGTTCACGTCAGCTGAGACACGAGCATAGTTGATAGAATACGGCACATGGATTGGTCATCATTGGCGCTGATGCAAATGCAGATGAGAATTGCGAGATCGCCGTCGGCCATCGGGAATAACTCGATATAATACTGGAGTGCCTTTTGCCATCCGAATTACCCCAAATCCGATGCCGTAGCAATGCTGAAATTTGACTACATAGATACATGTACTTTGTGTAGTAGTCTGCTGACATGTGTACCTAGGTACCTATACAAGCCGTCAATCTTACGGCGTCGCTCATAGACTACATGTATAGTTCTATCAGATATCCATCATACAAGCTGCCGCGAAATTTCATCACCAAAGTTCCAAAATACATCAAGAGGAGAGATGGTTTCTCCACTCCATTTGCATTGAATCGTGTGTTAAGCAAGATCCAAGTTTAAGTAAACCGATCCTGATTACCTCCAATAATGTCATATGCGTAGACCAGGGTTACAAGGTGCAAGTCTCAACTCCCTACAGGAGTTTTGACAGCAAGCCCAGAATACACAAATGAGTTTATAAACTCTCATGTGTGCCGCTCACTTGAACGTACAGTCTTGGATGCATGCCTCAAGCAGTTGTGTTCTTCATCGGAGACGTCACAAAGCTGAAATGGTTCAGCGGCGGTTCGATTCAACTCGGTATTCTGCGGGGTGAACACCATATGGAATCGTGCTTTGGCTCATCCAATGCAGCAATATCGCCACAATACACGGAGTATACTGTACGTCGAGAAATGTTGGTTTCCCACTATAACCCAGAGGTCTTGGCTCCTGTTACACAAGACATGCATGGTCAATACCAATATCAGTCTGACAATCCTCTGTCTCTTCATGTACACACTTGAGGCACGAGTTGCATGCTGTTCAACATCGTTGAGGCGCTGCTGTGTATATATGTCTGATTCCCAACAACACTTTGGCTCTTCTCTAGGCCTACAAGCTGCAGCTTATGCAGTTGAGCAGTTCTCATCGCCAACACTCAACTCCTTCTCCCTCACATACAAGCATACATAGCGCATCCACTCCCAATCATCACGGACTTGCTCAAGGACATCCGGCCGGCGAGCATGTCTGAGCATCCTGATGACCGTATGTACCATAACAAGGACATGCTGCTGGAGAAGGCCGGTGCGAACGAGGATTCGGAGGCTTGTGTGCATTTCGCCGGCAAGCAGAATGGCAGGAAAGAAACAGTTATCGTGACGCTATTTGGTGCTAGGCATGGAGTCGACTTGAGCGAATCTCATGATGGTGATGCGGTCTAGTCAGAAATAACAGGTAGCTCAGTTACAATGTTGGATCTTGAGTGCCTGGTGCAAGATGCGCGTTCCCCAAAGAATGGGAGCCTTCTTTGTGTAGCATTGATTGATTTTGATGAAATCACGACGCCAAACTCATCTAGAATGCCCAAACCATGCTCATAATCCATTCAGTGTATGAATTCCATCTTCTAGGGGCTTCTATAGAACATCATAGCCGCATGTGAGGAGCTCGGACATGTTTCATCCGGTCCTTTGTCAGTCATTCACTGCAAATGGCTGGACCAAGAAACAGAAGAACTCGGAGAGCATTGGCCTGATTTGTGAGTGAATGGCACGGACTTGATACGAGACAACGTTTTGGCCTGATCCGGAAGATGCCTTCGATATTCACCTTGGCTGTTTGTTCGACCATATTTTTATTTGATTCTCTCACCCTCTAGAAGACACTGATATGCATACACTTGAGTAGGTAAGGTAGCGTGTATATACATGTATATATAGCCACAGCTTTGCCCAACTTAATCACAACCAGCGACTCCGATCCTTCCTGAATCACTTACACTCCAAGCACCTTACACAAGACAAAACAAGTCACAACTCGGCGAATTTCAAAAAGACAAAGACACACAACAATTCACAAACACACAATAGGGAGCAATGGCTTCCTTCGGCAACGTCCGCTGCGGCGAAGTCCCCTCCCTCCACGCCCTCGCAGTCTCCCCCAACGTCCTAGGATCGCACACCATCCCCCCGAACGCAATCATGGTCCGCTACATCACAGTCCCGCCCACCGGCCCCGACATCTACGTCAACGAGATTGCCAGTGCCCCAGACGTGCAGTTCATGTTCAGCTTCCGACGCCCCAAGGCAGAACTCGGCTCCTTGGCCATGGACCTGCGCGACACGCCCGGCGGCTATGCTGCTATGGGTCGGTTCAGCAACGCGTGTATGTCGTCGACTTCGATCGAGCATCTTGTGCGCATGGCGCGCGGCATCACGACGTTGGAGGAGTCGCCTGAGATGGAGGCGTGGATCACGCATGTTCAAACATGAATGGGATTGTGTCCAAAGAGCGAGGAAAGAGGCTTGTCGTCACGTCTGACAAGAGATGTTGTTGGGTCTGAGCTACCACATTGTTTGTCTCCTGAGAGCTTGCCCTCTTTGCGATGTTTGTTGAGTATTGATTCTATTCACGTACGATTCGTTCCTCAGCCTTGCCGTGATTAACATTTGACGAGGGCAGTCCACAGTGACGCGTCCCTTGGACTGAATTGATGTTGATGCGCGATTGTGACTTGATATGCTGCCGTCAAGAACTGTTTGACCCCATCTTGAATTTGCATTGTATAGCTGTAGACGTTCCTTCTCATGATCAGCTTGTCGTTCTCTGAATACATATACTTGCACCTCTCTCGCCCCCCTGACCGCATCCCCCTTCTTCTCCATCCACCACATCCACTATCAAAACCCCTACACCAGCCTCAAAAAACCCCCTAAACCCAGCACCTTCTCAAGCAAAAAAATCACCATGGTTCCATTCGCAAGCCCATACGTCGAATACTCCGGCACCGTCTCCTTCCTCCACGCCCTCCGCATCGACCCCTTCATCCTCGGCTCCCGCACCATCCCCCCCAACGCAGTCCTCCGCCGAGAAATCAGAGTCTCCACCATGGATCCCGAAATGCATCTCTACGAAACAGCCGCCGTAGGCCAGGAGCTGTACATCTTCTTCTACCCCTGGAACAAGAGGGACTTTCATTACCTGCAGCGTGAGATTAGCGAGTCGCAGGCCGACAGGGACGCCGCGGGATCGTACCTCGACTTGGTGCGCTTGGCGATGGCGAACCCGACGGGGTTTGTCAATTTCCAAGGGGTCACGTCGTTGAGGGAAGATAGTGAAATGATGGCGTATCATGTGCATAGGGGTAATTTTGAGAGGTCGAATCCGGACAGAGATGGGATGTTTAATGGGGTTGAGAGGAATCATGTGGGGGAGTCAGCGTAGGGAGTCTCTTACATCTTGACAGGGATGAAATTTTGGCATAATAAAGACTTTGAAAGGAGGCTAAGCTGCTCTCGAGGCTGTATCACCAGGCTACAAGCAATCAACATGTTTGTCAGTTGTTGAGGCTGGGACTTGAAGCAGCAATTGCAGTTTGACATACCAGAGATTGGCCTTGTCCAGTAAACCCAGCTATTTGACTTTGATTGATATAGATGTTTGTTCTTTTTAGCGTGGTTCCTCGACGTCTTCTGTCAATTTCAGTTCTTGCTTTCACGGCACAGAGATAACACGGACGCAAATCTCACGTATAACAGCATGCTCTCTTCATGATCTTTCTCTTTGAGTAACTGAAACCTACGCCTGCCGGCCACCACAAGAGTCCCCTGCTATACGACCCAAAAAAGCAAGGCTACCTATCAAGAAACACAATAACGGCTAGCCTAGACAACCGAAACGCGGAAGGGAAACAGTCAAACTCAACCCAAAGAGATGGAACGTGTTCAAACAAGTTGGTATCCTTCCGATTGGAGCCTTTTCCAAAAAGAAAAAAAAAGAAGACGGAGAGAAGAAGAAACGAAAGCAGAAAGCAGTAGCCTCGGTGGTATCAAAAGGTATCCAGCCCTTCCATCACTCCCTCATCTTGACGTAGTTGCTCGGGAAAATGCCATGTCGCTGTCCGATTTGGCCAGTCCTAAGTGCAGTGGTTAAGAGTTATACCATGTACAGCACAAGGAAGGGGAAGTACTCACCACCAGTCGTTGTCGCTGTCCGTCTTTTTCAGCACCGTAATAATATCGCCCTTTTTGAAGCCTAGATCGCCGGGCTGGTCCGCCTCAAAGTTGAACAAGGCCACTGCCTCGTTTGACTTGAGCGTCGCCTGCTTGGCCCCAAACACTGGCTTTGGCGCCGTGGGGCGGCCAGGCCCGACCTTTTTCTCAATGGGCTTGTCCTGGAACCGATAGTCGCTGTCGAACCCCCTGGCCGCAAACGTGTTTGAGCGTGTCGGGGCGTTGAATTCTTGTCTGTCGTACACATCGTCTTGCCAGGTGTTTGATCTGGAGCGGGGGTTGGGCTGGCCTTCGCCATACGCAGACCCTTGCCGACCCTCCCAGACAACGTCGTCGTGGTTGTCGTCGTAGATGGGCATGTCGTTGTACATGGTGTCGTCGGAGGAGCCGAGCCTCATGCCACTAAAGACCCTCGAGTTGAGGATGTTCATGAGGGGCGCGGCCTGCGGCGGCGGCGGCACGGTTCCCGTCAGCAGCTGCTGCGCCGTGTAGCGCGTGCCGTACAGCTTCTCGTTGGCATCTCGGCGCTCAATGATGGCGGAGCCCTCGAGGGAGACGCCGGCGAACAGGCCCTTTGTCTTGGAGTAGCTGAAGATGCCCGACAGGCTCTTGAGCGAGGCTGCGCCGGCGGCCTCGGCATTGCGACCCACGGGCCCCGCGGCCAGCGACACGTTGCCTCCAAGCGTAATGGAGCCAGCCTGCGCAAACGTCTTGACGGCCGAGGTGTCGTTGAGGATGAAGACGAAGTCGGTCAGCTCGAAGCCAATCTGGCCGCCAAAGCCGCCGCCGAGGGTGCCAATCGCGCTGGGAGCGCTCCAGGTGCCGTCGGGCAGCCGGGCGACGACGAGGCCGCTGCCGAAGCGGCCGGATCCGAGGAAGCCGGCCTTGAAGACGGTGATGATGGCGAGGCCCTTTGCGTTGGACAGGATCGAGGGCGGGATGACCTTGTCGGGGCCGAACGCTTGTCGGGGGTTGATGAAGGACGAGAGGATCTTTGCGCACTTCTTGCACTCGGCTATTGGTCGTAAGAAGAGAGGAGCAAAAGAGTCAGCCTTGAACGACGTCTTGTTCCGCCAGACACTCGCACGCTCAGGAACCAACACATGGTTGCAGAAACGTGGGAGCCACCACAGAAGCCGATAGAGCTTGTAGGATTGGGGGGGGAGGGACGAGGTATGACGTAGAAAGCAGAGGCGCGTGAATTAACTTACATGCCATGGAGGCCGGCAGAGGATTGTTGATACCCATCTTTGGCGTGGTTGAGCCTGCGCGAGGCGATTCTCTCGGGAGCTGGACGTGAGGAAGACGAGGAATGAAGAGGGAGAAGGTGCAAAATTGGAGAAGCGACTATATGGGAATTGTATAGAGGCAAGATCGGATGCTGGCAGCACACGGTGGTTGCGTCAGCAGATTTCTGTAGTGCGAGTTATTACATGTACATCTATGGGCATCCATCCATCCATCCACTGGAACATGAACCTCCCAGTGGAACTGCCCGGCCATTCAACGACTGCTGCTGCTGCTGCTGCCCTGACATCCGTACCGTCATGCCGCTAGCAGGGGGCTCAAGGGCGGGGTGGCGGGGTGTTGACGGCAGGTCGGGGATACCTGAGGGCGCGAGATGACTCCGCGGGAGGGGCAGGTACGGGGTACGATGACGGTACTCGCTGGATATGTAGAGACAAGCAGCCCTGCAGGGCAGCAGTTTTGTGCTCCGGAGTCTGGTGCCTGTTATTGCCGGCTACCCAGGCGCTACAGGGGACGCCGAGGCAGCCTGTGGAAGACGCGGGCCTGTAATAATTCGTAGGTACCTACTCGTAGCGGCTGTTGTGCGACTTCGGCTTGACAACTCAACTCGGAGTTGCTGTGCTGCAATCGGCAGCTGGGCTGTGTTTACTGTTGAACCAAACTCAGCCACAGGACCAAGGTGTCTGGTATTATTCAAGCAAACAGACTGATCGCTGTACGTTGTCTTTGATATAGTAAGTATAACAACACCTCGTACTATCATCAGAACCTCCATTGCTACGTGACCTTCTTTTCGACCGTCACCCACGAATCATTAAAGCATCTTCCCTCTTCCATCGTCCATCTTTTCCAGCCCGGAATCCCGGCCCCACACGCCAGCTCTCGACGCAATAGTTGCCCCGGCCGCGTGGCGCGTGGCGGTGCGAGTTCAATTGACCCGACCGGGCGCTTCGTCGAAGCTCGGTGACGGCCTGAGGCGCTGAAACGCAGAGGCACCGCAAGGCACTACATACCACGGAAGCAACAGGGGGGGGGTCACCAACACTGAAACCAGCGCTAAAAGCGTCCAGCACCAGTTGATCAGCTCAACTCCCTTCCGTCTCGCAAGCCAGCCCAGCCATCGTCATCCACCAGCATCATCTACCACGCAATCTGAGCCTCAGCGTCTTCGTCATCCATCCATCCATCCATCCATCGCCAACTCAGACCTTCCAGTCTTCACCCTCTGTCAAAGCTCAGCCTCGGTTCTCGCGCCGCGCCACCAGCAGCAGCCGCCATCTCACCACCATCTTCCAAACCGAAAACCAGAAACGCCGTTTGTTGACGCTTTCCCCGACAGCAGCGCGCATCTACCTATTCGACGTCAACCAGCCCCCTGTCGCCATAAACCCCCCCCCCCCCCCCCCCCTTCTTCAGCGAAACCGAGTTTACCAAGAAAACCACGAAGCTACTCGGTTGCAAACATCGATCCTAGTCGAAGCCGCGCCCTTCTTCTCGCGACAGCAGCAACTCCCCCAGTCAACCCAAAAAAACAAGAACCACCCGAATAAACCCTTCCCAAACCAGATCGCCACCTCAAAGCCAAAACCCGCAGCCATGTCCGAAGCCTACGAGCGCGAACGCCAAAACAATGCCCGCCTGGAGGAGCTCTCGTCCAAAGTAACCGCCCTGCGCGGCGTCACCGTCGACATTTACGACAACGCCCGCGCGCAAGACGTCATCGACCACACTGTACGCCCTACTCTCTCTCTCTCTCTCTCTTTCTCTCTCTTCCCCCCTCCCCCTTTCATCTCCCTTCAAAGCTCATCGCGAAAACACCTTCTTCACCGGATTCCACTCACTGCATCTAACAACTAACACGATGACATTCTGTCTAGTCTGATACATTCACATCCATGGCCTCGCAGGTCAAAGGCTCCGCGACACGACTAACCAGAATGGCCGCCTCGGGAAACAACGTTGCGATAATAAAGCTCGCGGCCATCATCATCGGGGCGTTTCTGCTGCTGTACTACGGCATCAAGTGGATCTTTTAAGATTATCGGGCAATATGTCATATTCAGCATGGCATGGGACACAAATACGGAGGAGTTTGCCAGGCTTTCCTTTACTCATGGAGCGGCTCTTGTTTTTTTAGTATTTCAAACTTCTTTTTTTGGTCAACTTTGCAAATGTTGTTTCTAGGATATGGCAAAGGTGGCAGTCGGATTTGCAAAGGCAATACCCTTGGTGTTTTATGCGGAGTTTCTAAGCATGGATCAATTCCTTTCTCCTTGTTTCTTTTCCCTCTGTCATCTTGTCCATTTCGTTCGTAGAAAGCCATCAATTCATACGTGGACATCATACCTTGGTTGTAGAATAGTAGTACTTCAAAACGTACAGTCAGATCAATCAAATCACCACAAATACAATGTCTACTCAACTCTATGCCTCCTTTTTTGATTCGTGCAATCTACAAGACTCCCAACATGCATAACAAACGCCCAGTAACATGCCCGCCTACCCAAAGTCCAACGTTCGTCATTAGCCCGCTCTGCAACCTCTCAAGCCTGCTTCCAGCTCGTCATCATTATAGTATATATGGGGAAGAGGCAAGATCTACTGCCAGACATTAGAGAACAAATCGTCATCGGCCCCAAAGCCACCCTTGGCCGCCGTCCCAGAGCTCGTCGTCGGTCCGGTGCTGCTCGCCCAGCCGCCAAACTCTTCGTCAGCGGCCACCTTGGGCGCCAGGCTGAACCCCCCGTTAGATCCAGGCACAATGGGCGTGTTGGCGAACGAACCTCCCTCCCATCCGAGCGTGGTTGATGCCGGCGGCTTGGGCAGCGCAGGGCTCTTCTGGGCGGCCGTCGACTGCGTTGAGGTGCTCCATTCGTTTCCTCCCCAGACATCAGCTCCCGACAGGTTGGCCCCGCCAATCACGGCCGCGGTCGAGCTCGAGGCGGGCGCGGGAGCGGCGGGTTTGCTCTGGGGTGACGAGAGGTTGAAGACGGAGCTCGACACCGGAGCGCTCGGCTGGGCGACGGGCGGAGACATGGACTGGGTGGGCGCGGAAAAGTCAAAGAGGTCGTCGAGAGCAGAAGACGCCTTGGGTGCGGCGGACGGGGCAGCGGCCACGGGTGTCGAAAAGGCTCCGAACCCGCTGAAACTAGAGCTGGAGTTGGACGGCTTCGACTGGTGAGACTGCGCTGGCTTAGAGTCGAAGAAGCTTCCGCCGCTCAGGCCGCCAAAGGCATTGCTGCTGCTGTTGTTGTTGTTGTTGTTAGAAGAAGCTGCCGGTCGCACGCTGGAGCCCAGATTGGCAAAAGGGTCGACTGGTGCCGGCTTGGCGGCGGCCAGATTCAGGTTGCTAAAGGCGTCGTTGAAGCCGCCCATTGAGCCCTGTGAGTGGTGGCTCAGGGTTGGCGAGGTAGGGCCTCCAAATCCGTGCTGCTGCTGCTGCTGGTACTGTTGCGGGGGCTGCGGCTTGGGGGCAGAGGCATATAGCGACAGGATGGACTGTTTCAGATCCGGCCTTGACTGGCCAGTGGGTGATGAAACCCCTGGCGTGCTCGCAGGCCGCGGCGGCGCACTGGACTCGCCAAAGAAATCCAATCCGAGCAGCGAGTCCTTGGTGCCAGTCGTCTTGGGAGGCGCGGGGTCGGCCTTGGGCGTGACTCTGCCAACGGGCGGCCCGCTAGTCGCCCGCACCGGCACAGGGTCGTCGCCGCCGATGAGGTCGCCCACCGCAGGGGCCGGGAGAGGAGCCCGCCGCGGTGCCTGGCCCTGTCCTATCGACGCCTTCCTGATGGACTCGTTCCTCTCCAGAACCTGCTTCTCCTTGACAAGGCTCAGGGGGACGTCGTCGTCGGCGGCGGCGTCGAGGGTCGAGGGATCGGGAATGGGTCCGTCCATTGTCCATCGCTTCAGCTCGTACTTGGTGCGGATGAAGTTCTCAATCTTGGACTCGGAGGGGGTGTGGCCGGGCGCCAGCTTGGCCTCCCAGTACTTGTTGGCGCGGGCGTTGCCCCAGTTGAGCACGCTCTGCAGCTGCTCGTCGGTCCACGAGTCCAGGTCGACGGACTTGACTCTGCTGATGTGGGTGCCCATGCCGCGGTGGATGCCGGAGCAGCGAATGCAGATGAAGATGCCTAGGTTCCAGCTGGCCCATCGGGGGTCTAGGAAGCAGATGCCGCCGTCAGTTGTTTGAAGCATTCGAGTGATGGGAACCTCCGGGAATTGACGTACGCTTGTTCCGCTTGCAGTCGGCGCAGACTTTGTTGGGTTCGAGCTTCAGGAGGCTCTTGATGGTGGCCTGGTTCTGCGCTGCCCGCTCAGCGCCGGGATTGGGGGCTCGTCTGGACATGGCGGATCAGGGTTCGGGTTCGGATTTGGGTGAGGAGGTGCGAGAATCGTGAGGATGGCGGGTTTCGAGGAGATGCGGCAGCCTTGTGGCTTATGCTGTGCAAGGAGAAGGAAAAGTGGCAGCCTGGAGCAGAGGATGTCGTGTGGCCACTCTGGACATTTGCCAGTTGCAGGTTGACCGCACCGACAGCCCACGAAAGCCAAAGCCGCCTCCTGTATCAGACATCCGGCGTCGGGGCCACTTCGGGAGTGCCGCGCCTTACCCTGGAGCGGCTGAGGTGAAACCGGGGGGCTTCAGCCTGTACGAGTATTACCTACTACTTACCGCCTCATTAGCAACTCTACAAGGTAATTCCGGAATGCAATAGAATTGGAACTTCTTCCTACGGGTTTCTGGAACCTTTGCTCTCTAGTGATTACTCGAACTGGATTTGAGACTGATGGAAGTTTTACTGGTGCTGACCTCTTGAACAACAAATCCCTCCCTTTCCGTCGTCTCCATGCACACTCCAACTCTGCAGGTTACACTCTTTTTTGCATGGTGAAACGATGAATCTACCTAGTAAATCTCAAAATGTCAAGATGGTCCATACTGACCCAGTCCCGGGACACTGTATTCCACATCCCCAATCCCTCCCAAACGCATCTCATTAGCGCATCCCTCCAGCCCCCAGATAGCGCATAATACAGTGTGGGCATCCCGGCCTCATCTGGATGATGCAATTGATTCCATTGCGGCTGTACGCAGATTTGTCAAAAGGCGACTCTGGCAAATCTTCCAAATCCTCCCCGTCCAATCAAGCAACTCCTAGGAACAACTTGCCATCAACATCAACATCAACTCCAGCATATATAGACACAGCCATTGTCGCCTCTTGTGTCTCTTCTTCTTTCACATCACAACCACCAATTCACAGAGTCAAAAAAAAAAAAAACCCAGCAACACCGCCTTTGATGCGCTTTGTGCCAACTCTCTCACGCTTCATCTTCTCCCTATCCAGTTTCGCTCGTGTACGATCCCCGCTTCGGACTCGACAGCCCGCATTGCAGCCGCTTCGTCTGCAGTCCATGTCCGGCATTCCCTTCTTGAGCGCTCTTTTCGGTTCAGCATCCAAACCGTCGTCCAACATGACTTACCCTGACCAACGCACTGAAGACGAATGGCGCGCCATTCTCAACCCAAGTAAGTTGCCCCAACTCCAGTGTTGTTCATCCTGACATCATGTATCATATACAAGTTTCCGTCACTAACAAACAATAGCACAATTCCGAATCCTCAGAGAAAAGGGAACTGAAGCCCCCGGTACCGGAGAGTTTGACAAGCACTACCCCAAGGAGGGCGTCTACACCTGTGCCGGGTGCGACGCGCCGCTCTACAAGGCTTCTCACAAGTTCAACTCTGGCTGCGGCTGGCCGGCGTACTTTGACAGCGTCCCCGGCGCCGTGACTCGGCACGAGGACCGAAGCTTTGGCTCTGTCAGGACGGAGATTGTATGCTCCAATTGTGGCGGTCATCTGGGTCACGTCTTCAAGGGAGAAGGGTTCCCGACGCCGACGGATGAGAGGCATTGTGTCAATAGCATCAGCTTGAAGTTTTCGCCCGAGGACAAGGTTGTTGAGAAGAGCAGCAAGGCTTGATGGATGTTGATGTATATGATGTTTGGATTTGTATGGCGTGTGTAATTCGGGTATATAGCAGCGATGAGTCGTGTTGGATTCTGGCACAGAAATACCAAAACATGTGGGAATGTGTCTGCACGAGTAGACGTGATATTTGAGACTGAGCCTGTTTAGGTGGACGCAAGCTTGAACAGCAGTCGCCAAGTACAAGACACATTTGCTCAAACATCATGGGTGGTACAATATGAAACAGAGCAGTAAGTATTGAAAACATCCTCTCAAAGCATAAGCTATTCTTCAAGGTTGCATCTTTCACAAGCCAGGCTGTAAACCCAGCAGACCATCAGCTTCTCAATCAGGTGCACAGAAGAGCGATGCCGCATGAGGTCAAAGATTAGAGGTATGTTCAATAATCAAACCCAAATCGGGCTCAATGAAGCAACCAATCGCCGTCTGATTACACATCCAACGTCACACGCCCACATGACAAGAATGACGTCCAGCGAGTGGCTGCAACAGAATAAGAGGCAACAAGCAAAAGAAGCAAAAATACAGTAAAGCTGGGGAACCCCGTCTCGGCATGTGAAAGGCGCTAAGGAGAATGCGGGCGGTCGGCACTAGAACCATTCGGGGGCGAGTTGGAGATGCCTCGGCCGAGGGACCTGCAGCAGCAGCAGCAGCTGGATTTCGGGCCACTTTGTTTTTCTTCTCCCTGTGGAATGGGTGAAGTCGTCCGGCCGAGGTCAGCCGGGGTTTGCTTGTTCTTCTTCTTTTAATAATCATTGTGTCTTCTGGCTTTCTTCTCTGCTACTTTCCTGTTTCTTTTGCTCCTCTGTTATACTGCACCTTGCCATCTCCTCCTCTTCTTTCGCCAGATCCGCAATACACACATCGTCATCATCATGGGCGGTAAGTCATCCTCTACATCACATCACACCACAACGCGGTGGACTAGAACCTGATAACCAACTAACACGCTCTGCTTCTTCGCAGCCGTCGACAGAATCTCCCAGGTCGCTGGCCAGCTCACCGGCAATCCCACCGCCGGCGGCCGCGAGAAGCTCCTCGAAAAGCACCCCGACGATGTATGCTCTCCCAACTGCTTACACACAACCCCATATTCTACATTCATGGGTCCAGATACTCATGTCAACCCACGTGTAATAGGTCGTTGTCACCGCCTGCTGCCGCAGCGCCTTCACCAAGGGCGGCAAGGGCGGCTTCAAGGACACCCCCGCGGCCGACATCATGGCCGGCATCCTCCGCGCCATTCTCGACCGCTCCAAGATCAACCCGGCCCTGGTCGAGGACATTGCCGTCGGCACCGTCCTCGCGCCCGGCGGCGGAGCGACGGAGATGCGCGCCGCGGCCTTTGTCGCCGGCTTCACCGAGGACACGGCCGTGCGGACGCTCAACAGGCAGTGCTCGTCCGGCCTGCAGGCGTGCATCGACGTCGCGAACCAGATCAAGACGGGCATGATTGACATTGGCATCGGGGCCGGTGTGGAGAGCATGAGCTTGAACTATGGGTGAGTAGACGGATAGCTCTACCAAGCAAAAATTCGCCTTGGGGGCAAACTTCCAACTGAAAGCTAACTGATACAAATAAAAAGCCCCGGCGCCGTGTCCGAGTTCTCCGAAGACTTTGCCAAGAACAAGGAGGCCGCCAACTGCAAGGTGCCCATGGGCGTCCTCTCCGAGGCCATGGCCAAGGACCTCGGCATCTCGCGCGCCAGCCAGGACGCCTTCGCCGCCGCTTCCTATCAAAAGGCCATCAAGGCGCAAAAGGAGGGCCTCTTCAACGACGAGATCGTGCCCCTGAAGGTCCGCGTCCAGGACCCCAAGACGGAAGAGTGGAAGGAGATTGTCGTGGACCGTGACGACGGCGTGCGCGACGGCATCACCGCCGAGTCCCTGGGCAAGATCCGGCCCGCGTTCGCAAAGGACGGCTCCATCCACGCCGGAAACGCGAGCCAGGTCTCGGACGGCGCGGCCGCCGTGCTGCTCATGCGCCGCTCCACCGCCGAGAAGCTCGGCCAGACGATCCTCGGCAAGTACGTTGCCGGCGCCGTCGTCGGCGTCAAGCCGTTGCTGATGGGCCAGGGGCCCTGGAAGGCGATTCCCAAGGCGCTGCAGAAGGCGGGCATCTCCAAGGATGACGTGGACATTTACGAGATTAACGAGGCGTTTGCGAGCCAGTGCCTGTGGTGCGCGAATCAGCTCGGCATTCCGCAGGACAAGATCAACCCCAAGGGAGGCGCGATTGCGTTTGGGCACCCGCTGGGGTGCACGGGGGCGAGGCAGGTCTCGACGCTGCTGTATGAGTTGAAGAGGACGGGGAAGAAGATTGGGAATACGTCCATGTGTGTTGGTACGGGCATGGGGATGAGTGCCGTTTGGGTTGCTGAGTAGAAGCTGGGATGTGGGACTGATGATGAGTGTGTGTCATGGATGGGAATGGGATTGTACGATAGAATACGGCCTGTCTACCTGATCATATAAAATGGACAATGATCGATCATAGAACAACAAAATGCATCATCTCAAGGTGTTTGTGAGACATTATCGAACCCTTGATTGCTTACCAGGTTTGTCTATATTTCGTGTTACTGATAGCTGCATAAGATTCCGCCACTTCCCAACACCATCAACATATCCCTCCCACAGCTTCTCATTCAAAAGCCCTCAATCTGAGTGCCGACGCCCTTCTGCCTCGCCACCTCAACCAACTTGGTCCCAACCACCAGATCCATCAAGCCCACCCCGACGCTCTTATACACAACAGTACCGTCCCGCAGCCATCGCGACAGGCCATCGTCCTTTTGCTTCTGCTTGTCCTTTTCAGACAAGTTGCTCGAGCTCTTCCGGAAGTGCTTCGAAAAGGACGGTCTAGTACCCGAAGACGTCGCGCTCATGGGGCTGGTGGGACTGGCTGGCACGTCGCTGGAGGCCGTGCTCATGCTCATGGAGGGGGCCCTTTCGGACATGTCGAGGTCTGAGAAGGCGGATGAAGTTTGGGACATGACGTCGGAGGATTCGGATTCGGACTCGTCGACGGCCATTCTGTGGAGCATGACGAGTTCGCCGAGTCTGTGATTATCATTGTTCAGTTGGAATGTGTCTACATGGAAATGAGAATGAGGCGAAGGGGGCTGGCTGCTACTTACTCGACAAGCTGAGTGGGCGCAATCTTTGCATGGATAATCTCGCCCGCTTCAGTCAGTGCGCCTTCCAGCGTGTCCACCACAATGACGCCGCCCTCATCGGCATGCTTGTGAAAGTGTCTGTGGCCCTTTTCACGGGGCTTTGTCACCAGTTGCAAAAGGCCCTCGGGCAGCTCTCTCATCTGCGGCGTATAGCTTCCCACGGCCACAATGAGCCTCCCCTTCTTTCTGCCCTCCCGGTTTGTCAGTATGGAGGCGTCGAAAAGCTCCTGCTGAGAAGGAGTGCAGCAGTAGATGATGTCGGCAGCGCGGATATACTCCTTCTGCAGCCGTTCAAACTCGTGAAACGTAGGCGTCAGGATGCTAAACTTGGCCCCCTCCCAGCCCTCGCGGACCTTGATGTCGTGAGGGATAATGGTAAACTTCTTGAGGATGCGGCCGGCGCTGTCCGAGAAGCGGTGGTTGATGATGTTGACGTGCTTGACCGTCTTGCCCCTCATCATCAGGGCCAGGCGGACGTGCCAGTAGGCCTGCATGCCGCTGCCGAAGACGGTGATGGTCTTGACGTGGTTGCGGCGGTAGACGAGGCATAGCGACGCCAGGGCTGTGCGGAAGGCCGTGAGGGTGCTGGCGTGGACGAGGCCGATTGGCTTGCCGTCTGGGGCGAAGAGGTTGACGACGCCGGTTGGGCTGATGGGCTGGACAGAGGGATCTTTTGATGCCTCGGCAGATGTGAGGGAGACGACTTGTGTCCATGTTAGCGAGGAATGTCAAACATGCTGGAAGGGTGAGGGCCATACCTTTACAGCCCATGCCGGTAGGCCCGCATGACGGCATATACAGCGTCGTGGCCTGGGTCTCGGGATGCAGCGTCGATACACGATGCGGCTGCTGGAACACGCCGAGGCCATCGGCTCCGAGATCGGTTGAGAAGGCATGCAGAGCATCGGCCAGGGTTTTCCGGAAGTCTTCCAGCTCATCGAGGCTGAGCGTCTCTAGGATGTCCCTGACCTGATCATCTGAGAGAACCGTCAAGGTCATGATGAGCGAGTGAGATCTGTAGTGAGATAAGCTCTCGATGGATGGGGACGGCTCTTGGTATGAAGCTATGCTATTACTCGGTATGGCAGTTCCGGCGCCGGATATCGGGGGTAAGGTAGTAGGTAGGTATGGTCGAAGCGGATGAAGCTGATTAATCAGGACCAGACGAAGGCAGAGTAAGTATCAGATTCACTGACTATGGCGGATTGAATGCAGAGAGAAGAGGAAATGGCCTTATCACAGCTGCCTCTGCTGTCTGTACATGTATGTACAGTGCAGCGGCTGTTCCGTCGTGCTGAACATGATGTAACCAGGGTCCTTGGCACCGGTCCGGCCATGAGGAGGTCTGTGGAGTCGAGAGATTTTGGACCGAACTCGCCTGACGCTTCTAGAGGTGCTTCCCCACATGCTCCAGACGGTCGACTTCTTTGTTTGTCTTGTCGTATTCGGCTGCGTACTGGGTGATGTGCTGCTGGCTTACAGTAGGTATGTCGCTGGGCAGTTCGATATAATGGTCCAGGGTAACTCTTTGTGTGACGGCGCCGTGAATGTGAGATTTGAATGCGGGTGCTAGTTAGCGATCTAGCGCTGAAGAAACATCGTTCAGGCACCGGCGTAATGGCTCCGTCGTTGCATAGATTGTAAGGTATGCTAAGTTAGGTAGGTGATGCAAGGGAAACAAAGAGAATTTGGCATCTTGCGGATGTGCTCGTCACAAACATCTGCAGCTACGTGTATGTTCTCAAGACCAGTGGTTCAACATCTCATTGAAGTAAAGCGGCAAAAGAGCTAAGGATCCGGATAGTTGTACATCATGTGCCAGGCGCAGTGTCGAAAGGCAGACGAATTAGCAGCGTGGCTTGCTTCGTGTTGTGTCCAGTCTCTGACAGAGGGCCGCGTAGATGCCTACGTCACAAAGGATTGGATGCCATGATCAACGTATTGCATTGGAGCTGCCTAGAGGCTGCACCGATATCGAAAAAAGAGGCATCTCTGTTGCCTGGGAAAACTTGACTTGCTCAAAAAGGCACATGAACCAAGGACACATGATGCGATATCTCGTTCTTATAGACCAAGGGACCATCGACACTTCACCTCCTTGAAAAGCATCTCGGAACAAACCCCCCCGTCAAAGACGGTGCAAAGGTCCCTGCAGCCTCTCCCAGCAACAGCGCCCGCCCCAGCAGCCCGGTGGTCCAATCAGCAGCCCCGTCGCTGGCTCAACCGCTGTTCTGTTCTGCAGCACGGAGCCCTTTTTGAGGCACTCCTGCGACAAGTCGCCGGTACGAGACGCCCGCCGTCCCCTTTCCGCCAACCCCCCTCCGGGCCACTCGTACCGTCTACCTCGACGCCCCGTATTGTTAGGTATCCGCCTCGCTCGCTCCTCCAGTTCCCTCGGCCGCTAGACCGCAACGGGCCCTGCAATCGACCTGGCCAGAAGAGGCTCGTCACCCTCGTTCGTCCCTTGGACAACAAAACCGTCGACATTCCACCCTCGTCCTCCTTGCCATCGACACAGACGCCAATCCGCCGCTCTCGACCCGGATCGCATCGCCGCGTGCTCTGAATCGTCTCGATAAGCCCGTCTTCGAATCGCTGCTCGACTTGCGACGCCCTTGCGCGCATCAACAGACAAAGGACACTTACCGCATACACCGTTCTGTGAGCTGCTGGACAGCTTCGTCGACGAACCGCCAAAATGACGCTCAGGGAAGAGTTCCAGACTCGGAATTTTAGTACGTTGATTTTGCGCTTCGTGCGGACATGTTGAACCTGGGACTATATCGGTGCTGACCGCAGTGACAGGTATTTACGGACAATGGTAAGCCTTCGATGCGCCGAATCTCCTGCAGCGCTGCTGCGACACGTTTTCTTGGACGAGGCCTTCGATTCGATGCAAAATCGCAAAGTGCTGGATGGCGATTGTAATGCTGTTTGGGAAACGCTCTTTGGCTAACCGGGGATTGATTTTAGGCTTGGAATCCTGTCCATGATTCTTTGCTTCGCTACAGGCTTGTCCAACATCTTCACGCTCTTCTCCAAACATGCGCTCCTGATCATCTTTTGCGCACTCGCCCTGTAAGTTGTCAACGCTTCTTTAGCCACGTCAACCCGCTAACCGCACCTCTCCAGCGCCTCATCCTTCATCATTCTGTTTATTGAGGTGCCGCTGCTCCTCAGAATCTGCCCGACGTCCCCCAAATTCGACGAGCTCATCCGCAAGGTCACCTCCAACTACATCCGAGCAGGCACCTACGGCGTTATGGCTATTGTCCAGTTCCTCAGCACGATTATCGTGTCATCGAGCTTGATCGCTGCGGCGGTTTTTCTGCTGCTGACAGCCATCTGCTATGGTCTCGCCGGTCTCAAGGGACAGGCCTTTATTGGAAGCAAGACTCTTGGCGGCGCGGGAATTGCGCAAATGATTGTCTAAGATCCTTGCTGCTGCGCGATATCCGGGGTACGGTGAGAGAAAAAAGGGGGCCGAGAAGAAAAGGGGAACACAATGATGTGGTTGCACTGCCTCAAATGATGCATGGTTCAGGACGAAGCTGGGACTGACTTGACGAGACTTTGAATTTGGACAAGCAACGAACTTCTGAAGGGGGCTATCCAATGGGATCGTTTCTACTACCTCAATACTTTCTACCGCGGTTGGGCATTTGTTACAAAAAAGGGAGTGTTTTCGGCGTCGGGCATGAGGCTTGGCTCATGGATTGATTTCGAAAGATGCCGCTGCGCATGTTTAGCTGATTGTGCTTAGTGGAATAGAATTCATGATGTTATCACTGCTTGTGCCTGCAACTGTATGGGAATCTGGGTAAGGGATCGGCGAGTGGTCGACTTGCGTGTATACTGTGACACCGTGACAATGGTGATGGTGAAGGCAATCGAGTTCAGTCTCGACCAGAATTCTGATAGTTGTTCAGCGAATGGTGAGTTAAAGAGAACTCGACATTTTCGTCCACAGGTATCTTTGATTGGTCGTTTGTAGAGCTGTTGAAGACGCTGGTGCTTATCTGGCTGTGCGTGTCTGGCGCCTTTATGTACCTAGGTAATTAAGAGGCAGTTTCTGAACGAGATAACGCCAGGTCCATCAACACCCACCGAAGGCACGCACAGTATCCAGCCCAGCAGCTGGAAATATCTCACTTTACTAGGTACTATATCACTCTAGGTCAGAGCTACAAAAAGGGACTCAACTCACTCCACTGAAACCCTGGTCTTCTCGCTCTGCGATTTTGCGGTTCTCAAAGATATCACCGTGGCGTCTGACTTGTCGTCCTCGTACCTCGATGAGGAATGCAACCTGCCGAGGAAAAGGCAAACAGGCTTGGATTGCAGTTTGTAAAAATAGCACTCTTAGCTCAGCATGGGAATTGTGGTTCCAGACTCGATGAGGATAATATGGTGTGACGACTTGATGGCGCATGTTTCACACAGAGGATGCTCTTCTATGCGAGATGTACATGTGTGTACCTATATAATAGTTGCCTGGAGCAGTTGCAGAAACCCAGCTCCTGTCTGCAGATCATAGACACTATTGGAGAGCTGCAGGGTGAATCACCTGCAGGTGCTTCTCAGGTTGATGAGCACTTCGTCGCTACCTATGTATATTGAACCTGTTGGTCTGTTCATCCCGTGCTATCACGTACCAGATATGCAGAGTAACAAGGCGGCAAGCGTCCGGCCAATGACGAATGGATCCAACGGGCGTTGTCGAATGCAGCAATCTGGCTCAATTGTTATTACTTGGCGGTGAAAGTGCGTTGGGCGGTTGATTTGCTGGGCTATCGAGGGCCGTGTTGGCAGCGTTAGTTTGCCTGTAGCGTCGGTTTTGCCAGGTCAGCCGATCGGGTTGGATTCTGCTGGTTGAGTACAGTAGAGCCGTGGGAGAAGTGATGGATGATCTCGATGGTGGGGTTGCGGAACTGCGAGTGACGCAATCAGTGATTCGGGGGCCGAGGAAGACTGAAGACGCTGGAAGAGGACCTGGAAGAAGAGATGAGCTTTGCTTTGGAGTAGCACTGGAGGGATCTCATTGCTGCAACTTCAGGACTGTACTTCTAAAGCGTCGATAAGGGGGTAATGCAATAGTCCCGTCTGTATAAAGGCAGGTAGGTAGGTAATGACTGCAAGCGATAAACAAAGGGAATGGCTAGCCAGTATCCTAAGGTGGCTATCCAGCACCCTAATACCGCCACACTATATATAGCATTCCCCCTAATATTGCCAAAATCGCTATAACACACACTAAAATGCGCAATATATAATAAAATTAATTTTAATAACTTAAAGTGCAATTTATTATAGTAATCTTAAAGAAAATAATAACACTAATTTCCTTATACTATATATAATTATAATATAGTTCTTTTATTAAGGCGCGGCTTTAGCAAGTTGCTAGGCGCGCTACATAAGGGTATTAAAGTAATCCTTAAATTTAGACTTATTAATAAGAAATTCAGGCTTATTTAAGGTTAGGCTTAGCATTAGGAGATTTTATTAAGTAGCTCCTTAATAGGCTTAAGGCTGCAGCTAGCTAAAGATAAAGGCATTACTAGATTACTATAAGCATTAAATACTAAAGTTTATAGTAGAAAGAGCTAGCGCTATTAATAGTAATAGCATTCTAGCTGCAGTAATTAAAAAGCTATAAGCCTTAGGTTTTATATATTAGCCTTATAGTATATATAGTATATTAGCCTTACTTAATTAGTTAGTTTATAAGTATATAAGCCTATCTCTTTATATAGTAGTAAATAAAGGAATTAACCTTTTTATATTATTTATTAGTATACTAAGTAGTAGTAATTATAAACCTTAATTTATACTTATTACTATTTTAATTTTCTTATTAAAAGTCTGCTAGTAATTACTATTAAAATAAATAGTTAAGTTATTTATTACTAATTTTCTTTATTTAGTTTTTTTATATATATATATTAAACTTTATTATATTATTTTTATTTATTTTATAACTAGTTATTTTTTATAATCTATTTCTATAGTCCTTTAAATTAGCTCCTTTACTTATTTTAAAAACTATAATATATATAGTATTAAAGCAGCTTTATTATATAAGCTATTAAATATTATTATTTTTTAAAAGCAGCTATTTATATATAATCTACTTAATAAAAGATAATATAATCTCCTTTACTTATATTATTAATACTATATTACTTAATAAATTACCTACCTCTTACCTTTTTAACTAGGTTAATAGTAAATATACCTTTTATAATTTTTAATAGTTTATTTAGTATTAGTAATAATAAGCTACTTTAAAAAGTTCTTTTATAGCTATCTTAAATCTAGTCTTTAATATTAATTATCTTTTTCTTTAAATATTAATATTATTATTAAAATATATTTCTAACTAACTATAGTAGGTATAAAAAATTAATAAGGAAAGCGCTTTACTTCTTTTAATAATATAAGCCCTTAGTCTTTTTACTTTTAATAGTATACTTACTGCCTTTAATAGTAATTTAATATTATTTCTAACTACCTTACTTTAGCTAACCTTAAGTAAAAAGCATATATTTACTATATTATACTTTAATTTCCCTTTACCTTTATTACTATTAAAATTATCTTCCTTTTTTTAATACTAGTTAATAAGCATTTAGGTTAATCTGCTTTACTAATTATTATTTATAATATAAAAAGTAAATATTTATAACTTAAAACTCCTAAATAACTATATTTAAATATTATCTTTATTAACTTTATCCCCCTTTTACTTTTCTTCTTTTATACCTTTATTTAATATATTTACACTAGTTATAAGGCTATTTAATAATAAACCTAATACTACTATTTTACTAGTTATTTTATTTAATAACTAGTTTAGTTATTTATTTAAATACCTATTAAACACTATAGCTTTATAAAGTATTTTTTTAAGTAGTATTAAAGACTACTAAAAGATTATATATATTAGCTACTTTAACCTAAAAGTAAATAATAATACTATTAATAGTAATATAGTTATTTAAAATATAATTAATTAATTTATAAAAAGCATTTAAAATAATACTATTATTAATAAGTATTAAGGCTATATTATATTAAACCTTTTATAGCTTTTATATAAATTAGCACTTTATTAATAAGGTTTCTTATTACTTTTATAAAAAAAGTATTAAATTAAATAGTTTATTAATAACTAAATTACTATATTAATAAAATAATTTTAGCTAAACTAAATAAATATAATAATCTAGCTTATAAAGTAATAGTATATAAATAATAATTATTAAGCTAGTTTAAATATTTACTTATAAGCTATAAAATTCTTTTACTTAGCTATAGCAGCAGGGTTTATTATTAATAAATAATAACTTTTATAATTATACCTTTATATTAGCCTATTACTTTATAAGCTTATTCTTAAACTTTATAAAACTATATTTAAAAATAACTACTTAAAATATCTTAAAGATAAATAGTAAGCTAGAACTTTAGCTTTAACTATATTTACTAATAGTAATTTAATTTAATAGTTCTTTATAAATATACTATAAATAACTTAAATATTATATAATAAGTAATTACTTACCCTTTTATTTACCTTTTTTATTAATACCTTAATAAATTAAAGTACTTATTATAATAGTAATTAAATAAAATAATAAGCTTTAAACTAGTAACTTACTAGCTAATAATTTAAGTAGAATATATAAGGGGGTATTACTTAATTCTAGCTATATATAAAAGGCAGCTAAATATAATTTTAATATAGTAAAAGCAGAAATAATTTTAAATAACTATAATACAGTTATAGCTATAAAGATATTAAGTATAAGTAATTTTAAAAGGATAGAAAATATTAAAATAAATAACTTAGTAACTAAAACTAATAATATTATTACTATTAGTTAAGGTTTTTAAATAACTTTATATATTTTAAATAAGTAAAAGATATTTATATTAATATTAAAAATCTAGTAGTAAAGAAAATAAAATTAAAACTTAACTTTTAAAAATACTAAATAGTTAAGGAGTTTAAATAGTTTAACTATAAGAATAATATAGCTAAAAATAAAACTATTTTTACTTACTTTATTTATAAACTATTTATAATATTAAACTAGCCTAGTAATTATTAAAGTAGTAAAACTATTCTGCTTTTTTAATTATATTAATATTAAAAACTAGTAAATAAAGTTATTTTAAAAGTATTAATATATATATATTATAAATACTAAAAAGAATTCCCTTTATACTTTAAACTTATATATTATATATATTTTAATAAGTATAGCTATTAATAAGTAAACCTTAAACTAAAGTTTTAGCTAAAATAAGTTATAAAGGCATAACTATTTAAGTAAAATATGCTTAATTACTATACTTATATATAAATAAGTATATAGTTTAACTTAAACTTTAAAAAGTTAATTATTATAGTAAACTCTAGCTATTTAAAAGTTATTATAAATAAAGACTAGCTTTATAAGCACTTTTTTAATACTATATACTTTTAAGTAAAAGTACTAAATATAATAAACTATATAAATAAAAATATTATAATAATATAAAAAGCTAGGTTTAACTTTTATATTTAAGGCTTTAAAAATAGTATACTAATTTATATAGCTTTTATATAAAAGAAATAGCTTAAAAAAAACCTA